GGGTGGGGCTGATGCGTGTGTCTGCGCATCCAGCTTCCTTATTTCCAGCTGAAACTGTAGCTGTGCCTGCCCGGCCCGCTCCTTAGCCTCTATCTCAAGACGTGCTATGCGGACTTTAATCCTCACCACATCTTGAGAGCCATCACTTGCCGTGGATAGTGCATCGAATCGAGGAAGTGTACCCGGCGTCTCCCGCTGTGTACCTTCCTCATCCTGCCCTCCCGACGCGCCAGCAGCCAGGGATTCCCCATCAAGCTCCTGTGTGAACTCTATATGGGCCATGGTACCGTCAGACACAGCCAGCTTTGATTCGCCGGACAACTTAAGGACACCCCGTTCCATCAACTGATCTATGACCTGAGCTTACAAATGTACCATCTGATTCGAATTTATCAAATTACCAACCTGATTAGAAATGACGAGCCCCCAAATATGTTACGTTCCCAGCTCGCTTATGGTAAAAGGGAAGCAACACGAGACCAGGTGTTCTTGGTAAGAGGTTGATTTTAATAATAAACTCAAAATAAAGATGATATAACCGAAAATACAGGCTCTTAAAACCAGCTATCTGTTCAAAATATTGCAACACAAAACGAAGGCCACAGATTATCACAGTCATGGGCACTTACGGCTAAAATAGTGAGGCGTCTCGCACAAGTTCGACGCCGTCACAAATCACAGAATACACACACAACACACATCCTAACTAACCACTATAACGGTGTGTCCACACAGCAGCTTTGACCAAATCTTGAAAATCCTGGAGCTGGGCGTGTCTGACAGCTTGGGGATTTCGCGACCAACAACCAATCACATGAATATCACATGAATATCCCGCCCCCGACATACAAAGCAAAAAAACCCGGTTCTTCTACACTATTGTCAAATAGGAAGGGCTATGATGAACATTTATTTTTTTAACATTTTGAACATTTATGAGATTAATGTTTATGGTGCTATGTTATGCTACATTCCATGCTGGCTAATGATACTGTCTATGCTTGCTAGCAACGAAGTAAACTAGCAACGAAGTAAACTGGATATAAAATCCCCAAACAAGCGAAAACCTACCAGTTTCACCCACTGCCTCTGCCACCTCCCTCCATGCCTGGCTCCTCCGGTTTGTATCCCGGTAAGTAAATAGGGACTGGTCATAAAGAACCGGGTGATTTGCTACCGCAATAACTAAGTTCTTCTCCATTTTTGTGGAATATAGAAATGAACTGCTTGTCTGGTTCTCCCAGCTTGCACGCGGTTTGATTGGCTAGCGCTTGAACTGTCAGATTTGCATAAACGGATCTGATTGGCTGTCGCTTCCAGCTCAGCCTCAAAAGTTGAACATTGTTCAACTTTGAAATCCTGAACATCCTGGAAATCCTGGAAATCTTCGCCTCGCCCCCCCACAATGCAGTTCGGCGACAAGCGAGGGAAAGTGACGTCATCCCCATTCAAAGTCAATGGGCGGAGACGCGCTGGAAGCGGTGGACAAATCGCCAAAAGCTGCTGTGTGTACGGGCCGTAACAGAACTAGCACAAAGCTACACAGAACATAAGGAGAGCACCGAGAGACGTCTGACACAGATTCAGACCTCTCCTGTCTAATTGAGATGCACACACTCTTGTAAGAGTCCCCGGAAGGTGTGGGCAGGGATTGGTGAGTCGGGCCCGACCTGCTCCAATCCAGATCTTCGGTCACGCCTACCGGAGGAGGGACAGGAAACTGGCATCCAATGGCGTCCGGGCAACGGCGCATCTCATATATATATTACATACACAGCTGAAAACAATCCTAGACAGGTTAACGAGCAGACAGCAGCAGCAGCCGTGACAAGATTATACATTTTACTGATACCAATTGTATGATATTTACCTTGTTCATTAAAAATAAAAATATAAAATATATATATTTTTTTAATATATATTTTTTAATATATATATATATATTAGGGCCGGGACTTTAACGCGCTAATTAAGATTAATTAATTACACAAAAATTAACGCGTTAAAAAAATTAACGCATTTTAATCGCACTTATTTTTGCACCGCGGAACGTTTCTCACTGGATGAGTTTCAGGCGTACCGATTATACTGGAGCACCAACTAACGTTCATGACTTCGGACAACAACAAACCACAGTGAACAACAGTGGGAAATGTTGTTTTAAAAAACGGACGGATGGAAGCGTCGATAAGAGCACGGTTGTGTGCAAATTATGCAAAAAGGAATTCGCATATCACCGCAGCACATCAAGCCTCAAGTATCACCTCAATGCAAAACATATAGCAGCTAGCGTGGACGTTAGCCTCTTTTATCGCGTTCACACCAAAAAGAGCCGGTACTAAAATGTGTTCATGAGAACCTTTTTACCCCCACGAAAGTCCCTGCTAGAGAGCAGGGACTTTTTTCTCTTGTGAGAAAAGAGCTATATTTCTGATTGGCTGGGCGGATTGCAAACCACGCCCCGTAAAACTCCCAAAACGTTTTGTGAATTTTATTATCCTCGCATTAGCATTATTAGCATTAGCCCAGCGCAGAAACGCAGAGAGACTAATTTATGGCAACACAAAATAAAACATGGGAGCGGTGGAGATGAGGAGGTGTCGGCGTTCTGGCGATTTACTCGGAAGGCTGCTGGGACTCCCAGCAGCTTCTACTGAAGCCAGTCCCCAACTCCGGGGACTTTGGGCGGCAGTATACGCCGTGAAGTGGTTTGCGGCCTGCCAATAAACCCAAAGCAGAAGAAGAAGAAGTGACGTCAGTGGCTTCATTTGCCTAATCCACCCCCAGGTTCAAAGAGTTCTCATGAAATAAGTTCTCATGAACCTTTGTGGGAAAAGTACTGCGGTGTGAATGCGCCTAATGGTATACTAAAATCCATGTGAAAAAAATTGCTTCTCACTGTTCTCAGGTCAAATATTTATATGTGATTAAAAATGCGATTAATTTCAATTAATTAATTACAAAGCCTCTAATTAATTAGATTAATTTGTTTAATCGAGTCCCGGCCCTAATATATATATATATATATATATATATATATATATATATATATTATTTTTTTAATGTGGGAAGAGGTGAGGCGGCGCCCCTATGGGCCGGCCGCCACTGGACAGGGTGCTATATAAATATAAAAGAGCAGTTTTACAGTTATAACACAGTGTTTCACTTACATTAGGCTGTATCACAGACAACAACCTTTTAACACTAAGGACATGCTGTGGTAAACTGTAGCTTTATTTATTTATGTTCTGTACATTCCACTGTGAGATGGTGTACATTGTTGTATTTGATGAAAAATAACAATGGACTATCTTCAGATAAAAACTCTGCTGGTGTCTTGGTCCTCTCCGCTCAGTGTGATCTGCTGCTGAATGACAACACTAAACACAGAGAGTAAAACAAACAGAAATAATAAAACATAAATAAAATCACATAAAATTAATTCTTTAAAAAAAAGTGAGTTTTTTTTAATGATTGAACAGAGGAGACAGAGTTGGCAGCCCTGATCTCCAGACAGGTCGTCCAAAGTCTAGGAGCTCTGACAGCAAAGACTGTCTGCTTTCAGTTTTTTATCTGGATTTTAGAACAACCAGGAGCGATGCCTCTTAAGAATCTCAGGGTTCAGGGGGGGGCATATGTCAATAAAAGGTCAGATACATAGTTTGGATCAAGGCCTGTCAGGGCTTTAGTAAGCAATAAGATCTTTAAATCAAATCTGTGTGGTGCAGTGGGTTGTGCGTTGGTGTTGGGATCAGGATGTCACAGGTTCAAACCCCACTGCACATGTCGTTGTGTCCCTGAGACACTTCACCCCAAAGTGCTCCTGTAGGGATTGCCCACAGTATTGAGTATGTAAGTCGCTTTGGATAAAAGCGTCTAACAAGTGACATCTGATGTAATCTGAAAACAAGGCGGATACAAAAACTGATTCAAGATACATCTGAAATCATTTTTAATTCAGATTTAAGGTTCCGTCCCCAGTAAACAGCACATGTTGTTTTGTTCACTGTGTGTGTGTGTGTGTGTGTGTGTGTGTGTGTGCACGCGCGTGTGTGTGTGCGTGCGTGCGTGCATGGTTAGTGTCAGTACACCGATCATCAGCAGCAGTGTGTAGAGTGTGAAACAGACATACAATGTTTTCATGTATGCCTTTAAAGGTCAGTGAGAGGAAGCTCCTGAGCTTCTCTGTGGAAAGCAGAAGCGGGTCCAGCAGAGGGGAATGTTTCCTCTGAGCTGAACCAGCAGCTGGCCTTTCTCCCTTTGTCTTTTTCTTCTCTGTCCTGCTACAGTTGTACAGGAAGAAGTAACAGTGATACATGGAAATGCTCAATGATCAAATAACGTCCCAGTTGAATCTGCACCAGGCAGGACTTTTATATTCAAGATACTTTAAACTTCTGCAACAAAGAGGAACAACCCACCATAGATTCATTTATTTTTATGATTTTTGAGGCGACAACATTCACTTGTATATTAATATCATACTTCCAGAGATTGAGAGGAAGACATTTAGTCTGCTGTCAACACATGGCAGTTATTATGTTCCACATTTTTTGGAACAAGCTCCCAGAAAACTTCAGGTCAGCTGCAACTCACTTCTTTTCCATGTTTCCTTTTTGCTGCCGGCTGCTGCCATTATCCAATCAAATAACTCGTATAACTTACACTGCACTGTAACTCTTCTTCCATTCTATACCTTGTTTTCATTGTATTTTCTTGGCTTTTTAATGACTGTTTTTTACATGTTACCCTAATGCTTCTAATGTTTGCTGTAAAGCACTTTAAAACACATTTGTGGAAATGTACTGTATAAATAATTCTGCCTTGCCTTGCCTATGTACGTTTTTCGTGCTGATATGAATATGTGCACTTCATAATATTACTCAGCGTACATGAAGGCTGCACCTTAACGTGCACTCACACCTGCTGTTCTTATAATAATACTTTTCCTTTATAATGCGCTTTTCTACATTTTTACAATTGTAAATCTCTCTCTCCAGGCTGCACCTTGAGCCGGCAGGATGTGCGTCTGACGCTGCACTACGAGAAGGGCTTCACTGTGACCAAGGAGCAGGTGGACCCAGCGGGGGGGGCCGTGCTCTTCAGGTACCCCTACGAGAAGCTCCGGATGTCCGCAGACGATGGAATACGCAACCTCTACCTGGACTTTGGAGGTCCAGAGGGAGAGATGGTGAGACAAAAGAATAAGATGTTAGCTGTTTCCTGATAGGAACTCTGGGTAATGTCTGCCCGCACAACATTCCTTTCAACAGAACTGTCAGAAGCGATCTCACTTATAGGAAATACTCAGGTTTGATTGAACTTACAGATGTAGATTGTTCAGGAGGCACGGCGTTTCCCAGAATACACCGCTGTCACGCAGCCAGCTGCTAAACTTGGTCAAAAACAACTGAAATAATTTCTTGCCTTGAATTTGTTTGACGATTTTAGCATCTGCCCTTACTGACAGAAACTTCAAAATCTGGTATTCTCTCCATTTACATGTATTTAGTTTTTTACTTCCATAAAGAATCATCCACACTTACACCGACATTAGACACACTCATCAGGAGCTGGCAGTAAGACCTCAGTCTGAATGATCCAGACATACAGCTCCTCGAGGGAATGTGCTGTCTGTTACGTTTTGGGCATTTCCAAGGTTATGTAACCAGTCTAATTTAACATTTACAAATTCCAGTCAAAATATGGCAAAGCAGGAATATCAGTAAATAGGTCTGCATTGATCAATCAACAAATGAGAGTGTGGATCTTCTGCTTTATTTTATGAAAAGCATCTGAACTTCTCTGAGTTGTGTCTCGGACCCCACGGCTGTTACATATTGCGTTTACTATAATTACTGTGTTGTACTTCATTCATTCCAACTTTCTTTTAGCAAAAGTAGCGTCTACTGTTTTATCCGCGTCACATTGCAGTACAAACGCTTTGGTGTAACATTAATGACTTAACTGTGTGACCATGGATGAGAGGAAATACATTAGAATTATTCAATATGTAGAATAATATAGAATCTGTTCCACCAATCAATGTCTTTATTTATGATTTCTAACGTTATTATAGTAGTTGATGGAAAAACATGCTCCTTCTGTCTTTGTGGTGAGCTTTATACAGTACATGTTTACTGTGCGCTAAACTGTCACAATCACATTTCAAAGCTTTTTCAACTTTTCAACATTTTTATATTCACCTTGACCATGGTTTGAACTTAAATGTAAAAAAAATGCTAATGAATTTCTACATTTTGAAATTTATAAATCAATAGTTTTGATCTCTTTTAATGTCATTAGGCTCAAATCGTGTGCAATAGAAACGTATTCTAGCGAATGGATTCTAATGGAAACATTCTAGTGAAAACTTTAGTCTGTGTTGATTAGGGTTGAAGGGGAACTCCAACAGTTTCAAACATCCGTCCTGAGAGATGCACCCTGACAACTAAAATGACTCATCATAACACATCTTCAATGAACTGTTGCATTGTGGGTAACGTAGGGGCCACGTTTCAAAAGACGACAGTGTGGAATAAAAAATATGTTATATCTCAGAATAGAACATGGAAACTCGTTTTTTTCTTCTCCTCTCCTTTCCTCCCTCCTCCCTCCTCTCCTTTCCTCCCCTCCTCTCCTCCTCCCCTCCTCTCTCTCCTCTCCTCTCTTCTCTCCTCCCTCCCCTCCTCTCCTCCCTCCCCTCCTCTCCTTTCCTCTCCTCCTCCCTCCTTTCTCCTCCTCTCCTCCTCTCCTCTCTTCTCTCCTCTCCTCTCTTCTCTCCTCCCTCCCCTCCTCTCCTCCCTCCCCTCCTCTCCTTTCCTCTCCTCTCTTCTCTCCTCTATCCTCTCCTCTCCTCCCCCCCTCCTCTCTCTCCTCTCCTCTCTCCTCTCCTCTCTCTCCTCTCCTCCCTCCCTCCTCTCTCCTCTCCTCCCTCCCCTCCTTTCTTCTCTCCTCTCCTCCCTCCCCTCCTCTCCTCCCTCCCCTCCTTTCCTCTCCTCCTCCCCTCCTTTCCTCCTCTCCTCCTCTCCTCCTCTCCTCTCTTCTCTCCTCTCTTCTCTCCTCCCTCCCTCCCCTCCTCTCATTTCCTCTCCTCTCTTCTCTACTCTATCCTCTCCCCCCTCCTCTCCTCCTCTCTCTCCTCTCCTCTCCTCTCTCCTCCCTCCCCTCCTCTCCTCCCTCCCCTCCCCTCCTCTCCTTTCCTCTCCTCTCTTCTCTCCTCTATCCTCTCCTCTCCCCCTCCTCTCCTCCTCTCTCTCCTCTCCTCTCTTCTCTTCTCTCCTCTCCTCCTCCTCCCTCCCCTCCTCTCCTCCCTCCCCCTCCTTTCCTCTCCTCTCTTCTCTCCTCTCCTCCCTCCCCTCCCTCCTTCCTCCTCCTCCTCCTCCTCCTCTCCCCTCTTGTCCTCCTCTCTCCTCTCCTCTCTTCTCTCCTCCGTCCTCTTCTCTCCTCCCTCCCCTCCTCTCCTCCTCCCCTCCTCTCCTTTCCTCTCTCTCTTCTCTCCTCTATCCTCTCCTCTCCCCCCCGCTCCTCCTCGCTCCTCTCTCTCCCCCTCCTCTCTCTCTCCTCCTCCTCTCCTCTCTGCCGATCGTCCTCCTCCCTCCCCTCCTTCAGTCCCTCCCCTCCTCATCCTTTCGCTCTGCCTCTCTTCTCTCCTCTCCTCGACCTCCCCTCCTCTCCTCGTCCTCCCTGCCCCTCCTCTCCTTCCTCTCCTCCTGTCCTCCTCCTTCCTTTCCTTCCTCGCTCGTCCTCCTCTCCTCACTCCCCGTCCTCTCGCTTGCCTCGTCCTGCGCTCTCTCTGCTTTTCCACTCCTATCCTCCTCCTCCTCTCCCCCCCTCCTCTCCTCCTCTCTCTCCTCTCCTCTCTCCTCTCCTCTCCTCCCTCCCCTCCTCTCCTCTCTCTCCTCTCTTCGTCTCTTCTTCTCTCCTCTCCTCCTCTCCTCCTCTCCCCTCTCCTCTCCTCCCCCTCCTCCAGGTGTTTGACCTCCACTCAGGTCCCAAGCCGGTGGTGTTTGTCCTCCACTCCTTCCTGTCAGCGAAGCTCACTCGTATGGGCCTCCTGACGTGAGACAGCGGCAGCAGCAGCAGCAGCAGCAGCGGCAGCAGCAGCAGCAGCAGCGGCAGCAGCAGCAGCAGCGGCGGCAGCAGCGGCGGCGGCAGCAGCGGCGGCGGCAGCAGCAGCGGCGGCAGCAGCAGCGGCGGCAGCAGCAGCGGCGGCAGCAGCAGCAGCGGCAGCAGCAGCAGCAGCGAGGAGACGCTCCGTAAATGCTGATACTTTTCTTTTAGTTTCTTTTTCCGACTCCTCCATTCAGAGCTGAAGCTTTGGAGTGAGGGAGATTAGACCACAAGTGTTGATTGCCTCAGAACTGTGCCTTCTGTTCAAACATCTCCTCGGCCTCTGGAATCATTTGTTTTGCAGATAAAAGGAAGTGGCACTTTGCTTGAAGTGATGAGAGACAAAACAGGCTTTTAAAAATCATTCCATGCATTCACTTTTATTCCAAGATGTGCTCATGAGATTCCACTACCAGTGCACTTCAAGCAAAGTGTTATTGATATTAAGGGATGGACATTTTGTTAGACAATAAGCACAGAATGGTGAAAGCTCCCTGTTTTACTCTCTGCCTTTCATTCCACCACAGCCTTCCAATGTTCAGGGCTCTAATCTGTTAGTCTTTGTGAGTGTGAGACGCTGATTTAGAGTCAGTATGCAGTTAACTGATCAGAGAGTGTGTGTGTGTGTGTGTGTGTGTGTGTGTGTGTGTGTGTGTGTGTGTGTGTGTGTGTGTGTGTGTGTGTGTGTGTGTGTGTGTGTGTGTGTGTGTGTGTGTGTGTGTGTGTGTGTGTGTGTGTGTGTGTGTGTGTGTGTGTGTGTGTGTGTGTGTCTATACTACACCCTTCGGTTGGCTGACGGTGTGCCTGCTGTCTGATGGCACCTGCTAGCACATTATCCTAACCTACTGTTGTAATCAAGTGCCAATGGTGCCTTCCTACACGTAGTGACACTCTTTGTAAAGTATTTTTTATTCACACAGTGAGAGAGTTTGAAGCTTTCGACATGGCCGAGCTATAGTATTACTCTTAGTGTAACCGTGTTACTTTGTTTTTATGTTGTTTTTAAAGTCTTATGATAAGCATGACATTAAACTCTGTATCAGATGATGACATCTGAACATGTGTTCCCCCCCTTTTTGACCTTTGCTGCCACGTCATGTCTCTGTCATCTCATTCCATTTCTCTTGAGTTTCCTGGTCCCTTGTTACCTGCCTAAAGCAGTGTTTCTCTGACCAAGCAATCACTGCAGTCAGTGTACACACGCTTTCTTTTACATTCCTTTTAATTTGCTGTCTGAAATGTTTTTTACAAATATATGTTTTACTCTTGGTCCACTGACTTGCCTTCTTCTGGAGCTTGCATGGCCTCATCTGTCATCCATCTGCTTCCAGTGTAGCAGTAACCTTTAAGATCAGCTGATCACAGAAATCATCACAATGATATAAAGAGGTGGTTCTAGACCAATTTTACTGGGGGGGGGGGGGGCATGCTGGGCCCGGTTATTTAAAGAGCACATTTAATGCAGGACAAACACTCTCTTTGTGTTTTTAAGATTTCAACATTTTGGTTCAGTATAATGACATGGAACACAACATAAACTATAATGAATAATATTTGTTTCAGTAGCTTAGTTACAATTTTATTAAATGGCATTTATGAAAACAAAACACATCCATGGTAACTTCGGCTCAAGTTAAAGCACAGTCTTTGCACCATCACCATTGGTTTTATAATAGACTCTTTTTTCAGAGGCGGGGCACAGGGTGGTCCAAGCCCAGTGTTATAAGGGCACTGGCCCCTGTGAGCCCCCCCCTAGAACCGCCCCTGCAAAGAGCAGGCGATCAAAGACAAGGATTTACCTTAAATCTTCTGTATTGTTTAGTCTTTTACTAAACTTATTACATTTAAAGCAGTTAGACAGGATCTTATCCTTTAAAAACATATGTAATGTTTTAATAATGACAATACTACTATAATAATATTTCATATTATCCAAAAAAAGGGTTAAAATAGTAGGAAGTTGAATTTGAAACAATGAAAAACAAACTTTCTGAAGTAGAACAAATACTGTTGCTGTTGTTTGAGTTACATCAGATAATATAGAACCTTTTGTATCATATGAAATAAATGCCCGGCATATTCTAGAAGAACCCTATTCAGAATGATATGTGTTAATAACATATTTTAATGTTGCTTATTCCAAAAGATCTATTGTTTATGTACTGCAGCCGTCAAAAATCCACCTTGAACCACTTGGCTCTCTCACGTGGAAGAGTATAAACCTTGTTTGCTAGTAGGAGTAAAACTGATTTTTTAAAAACTTTTTTCTTTCACTTAAATCCAAAATGTCACTTTCAGTGGCATGATCAACTCAGGCCCTGGTGCTGTTCGTTCAGGTCTTGCTGTTTTTTAGTATGCATTTTTCAATTATTGCCTGGAAAAATGCAGAGTTGGTGTGAGAGAAAGTGATGTTAGGCATGCACCAATTTAGTGCTGTTATTTAGATGGAGTGTGAGTGAAGTCATGTGACGAGCACTGAGCAAACTCAATCGATTGATGAAGAGCATCAGATGCAGTTGAAAGCTCTGGTTAAAGCCACTAAATGGACCTAGGGTTAATGTTATTTGTTAATCTACTATGCCCAAGCAATTATGACTTCAGTCTCTAAATGAAGGTTGGCTCGTCAATGAGCTCCACGTGACTGTAATGTAGACATTTCCATAACCTTCAGCTGTTCATGGTGCGTGTTCCTGAAGCGAGCCTTCCCTTCAGTAGAGCCTCTGTTCTTTGGGCCTCTAACAATGTCCCATTGTTTCCCCTCATCGTGCAACACAGAACCAGATATCCCGTCTGTCCTCGGATAAGGAACACAGTCACAGTCTGTACGACCTTCATTCTGTTTGAGACGGTGTCCTTGTGATGGTTTGGACACTTTTTTCATTTTATAGTAAATGCATAAAACAAACTGAAACATTGACATTAATAAAATGCATTAGGTCAACAGATTTCACATAACTGTATTAAGTTAGTGAAGGCAATAATATTAAGTTTAAATAAGTTCAACTTAATATTATTGCTTTTTAACCTTGTAAATCTGTTGACATAATACATTTAATTAAAGTCAACGTTTTGGTTTCTTCAGTGTCGGCTGTGATAAAGACTGGCAGGCTTCACTTCCCCTCATGTGTTCCAGTTAGATCCGGCCTGACAGAAAGTGTTGTTCCTGTGTTGCTCTCCATCCTTCCCCACCACACCTTTTACTCCATGTTAGTCCTGTCCTCTAACACACCGCACAGATCTGATTGTCTTAAGTTGGTCAACCTTCAACAAGCGACAGGCCGTCCCTCTTTAAACTCGGTGCACTAAATCTGTGAATGTACACCTCTCCTCTGCTTCCACATGATGATGTTCACCTCCTTTCTGTGATTGTGGCTCCTGTCTATGCAATGCAAAGAAAGGGTTTTGAACCAAAGGTAGTTTTTGTGGCAGCTTGCGTCCAACACAATCATTGAACTGAGGGGTCTCGGCAGAATAAAGTGCTGCTGCCTCAACCCGTCATATGCAATGTATTTTAGACTTCCTTCCAAGATACTTACAGCCTATAATGTATGATAGCAATGTAATAATCACAAATGTAAAAAAAACTACCAATAAAACTGTTACAAATTACAGACATTTCTGTGTGGTTTGTTTTTATGATTTGGACATTGGTTTTACATGTATAATTTATTCAATATTAACATGTCATTGTACTTATTGATTGTTTTACTGGGTTTGGGTGCACATGTTTTTTAAAGCCCAGACAAAGGTGGAAGAGCACCAGCAAAGTCACAACTAACAATGACCAAGGGTTGTGTCCTCTAGATTTAGTCTTTTATTTTGCCCTCAAAGTGCACCAGATTGATGCATTTCACCTTTCATTTTCCTGTTTTCATGTTATTATCCTCCAAAGAGTTAGATAAACACTGACGAATTCACAGCTGACCAGAAGTGATATCCATTGAGAAATTACATCTCAACATGTATCAGATTTTTTAAATATCTTATCTTTTAGCTCTATGTTTTCATAAGGTCTTGCAAGTGCAAGTTTTTGAATGCTGTCCACACAAAAAAAATCTCAATATTATGCTTTTAAATTGTGTTAGCATGATTCTGGTGGTAACATTTCCACCAGAACTACACCTTTGTTAGGAGCTCTGCTGCTATCTGGTGGACTACAGGCTGTGAACCGTTAACAAGAAGCTGAACATGTATCAACATCTGAAACTAGAGAAATCTACATGATTGTGGGATATATTATATATAGCATATTGTGTAGCATTTTTGGATATATTTCACACATTTTCTTTGTTATGTGTAAATGTAATATTGAAAAAATGTGCTCAACAACTATGTAATGTATAGAGTATATGTATATATAATATATATATATATGCCTATAGGTATTTGTAAGGTAAATATGTAGGCTGTACATATACATAGCATAATTGCCATTTTCTCAATTTGTTATTTAGCAGTAAAATATATAAATGATTAATAATGTCAAAATATAAAAATGTAATGAAATTACAATTAGCAACACCCTATCCATAAAATTGTTATATTGATGTGGTTGGTGAATGTGTGATATTTTAGTACATAAAATAGTCATTTAAAGTTGTATTTTATAAGGTGTAACCGGAAGTTGTCTCCATCAGCTAGCTTGTGGTTGTGTCGGGCCGATGCAGAGCTGTCATATTGGCTTAGCAAGCTAACGTATTAGCCTCTGTTTGTCATGTAAAGAACAGTCGGTACCGACACAACACAGGGCTGTTAACGAATTCATGTATTCACATATCCGCCTTTGGAGCAAGAGGATAGAAACGTGAGAGGCGAGCACAAGAAGGAGATGAAATGACAACGTCAACATTACAGGTACCGTTATCCAGTACCGTTAGCCAGTTACCGTTAGCCAGTACAGTTACCTTGCACTGGACATCAATACAATACTTCAATGTAAGCTAACCTTCTATCAAAACAGCTGACGCTAAAGCCCGCTGATGTTGTGGGTGTAGTTAACTGAGCCTTCAGTTAACAGTTCCTCCATTAAATTGTTCCAAAACATGAGCCTTAAAAACCTCAAACGTTAACGTTACTGTACCAGCTAACTACTATACAATAATACTATTATTAATCATAGGGAGGGGTTTTAAATTGTGGATTGCTAACTTATGTCAAAGCCACTGGTGGTTTATGGGTTCTAAAGAAGGTAAAAACAAAAGCCATACCGCAGATCAGGTGAGGAATAGTGGGTTATTTTTGTAGAATGAGAGAGAGACTGTTGTATATATTGTGCTTTGTTCAGTTGAAGCTCCAGTGTTGAATGTGTAGGCTGATGTGAGAATGACACTGTGTTCCTTTCCTTTATTTCTGTGTCCACCCCAACCCATGTGAGGCCTATATCTGTCCTCTGACTGTATTTATGTCCATCTGCTCCAGAAAGCGATTGATCTTGTGACCAAAGCCACAGAGGAAGACAAGGCGAAGAATTATGAGGAGGCCTTGCGACTGTACCAGCATGCTGTGGAATATTTCCTACATGCCATCAAATGTGAGTAAAGCAGCCGGAAGAACACTTTAATTGGCTTGATACCCTTCTGTTGTTACAATGTTTCATTCACATTATTGTTGTCATTTCCTCAGATGAGGCCCACAGTGACAAGGCAAAGGAGAGCATACGAGCAAAGTGTATGCAGTACCTGGACCGAGCGGAGAAACTCAAAGACTATCTGAAGAATAAAGACAAGCAGGGCAAGAAGCCCGTCAAGGAGGCTCAGAGCAATGACAAGTGTGTACGCTTCCTGCCCTGAAACATGTTCAAATGTGTGTGATCCACTGTGTTTGATTCACCTCTGTGTGTCTGTAGGAGTGATAGTGACAGCGAGGGGGAGAATCCAGAGAAGAAGAAGCTGCAAGAGCAACTGATGGGTGATTAAATGTGAAGTCTGCAAATATTCCTCATATTCCTCGCCAGTTCATAAGATGTTTGACAGCCATATATCCTATTGTATCAGCGTAGTCCACTGATACAATTGAAATATACTTTTGGGATATATATTTTGTAGTTTTTTCAGATGTAGTTCACATATTTTCTTTGTTTTGTGATAGTGTGCATTTAATATTTCCAAAATGTGTTCAACAACTAAACATAATGAAATCCAATTAAAAAAGAATATATACAACATTAAAACACATTTAGAAAATCGAATTGGGGAAGTAAAACATTATAAACATGATCAATATTTAATAATAAGAAATTGTAACATAAAAACAGAGTGGGTTGGTCTAGAGCAGTGGTTCTCAACTGGTCAGGCCTCGGGACCCACTTTTTACTTTGTCAATACATCGCGACCCGAAAATGTTGAACCACTCAAATCTATTCAACAAAAAATTGTGCTGTAATATATATATATATATATATTTGCTTTTCAGCATACAATATTAATGAAAGTGAAGTACAGTGCATATATCCCTTATATCCCTTCACAGAACTAAAGTATGCTTTTAAAAAGGTTTAATGAGATGATGGAATCAAAGCTGAACTGTATCACATCAAAAGGAACACATGCTGAAAACCCAACCCCAGAAGGGGGGTCTGGGGGTATTCTCCCCCAGGAGATTTTTAGAAATACTAACATATAAACTACGCATTCTGGTACACTCTGAGAAGAAAATAAATAAATGTATTACTACCCGACATAATAATAATATTTGATGCCATTGTTTGTTTTTCACTTTGTTCTGAAGCTGAACTTGCTGCTCCTCACAGAGAGAAGAGTAAAGAGGAGATAGCCTGTGTGAATTACTTTCAATTGTGGGTAAGGGTAGATAGCCCCCATTAGGCGCTTTCACACCGCAGTACTTTTCCCACAAAGGTTCATGAGAACTTAGTTCATGAGAACTCTTTAGTTCTCATGTACAGATTGCGTTCACACCGGAATAAGTCCCCGTAAAGTAAGTCCTCTCCCATAAAGTTGCCCTTATTATGCTCTTTTGAAAGTTCTGCTTGTGGCGTTGTGCCCGAGCTATCATTAGCATTTGAGTCCCAGCTTTGGCTGCGTCCCTCATTCAATTTAGTATGGAAAGCCCAGTGTGCCATATTTTGCCCGTTTTTTTGTTTAGATGCAGAGAGTAAGGTAAGTACTGGCCATAGTTACTACTGTAACTACGGTCCTATGTAAGCACTGGCCATGGTTACTACTGTGACCATGGCCTATGGTTCTATGCGGGCTGTTCTATTCCATAGAAGCTAATTATCTGGTCTTAACATTGTGTTCTGACTTGGTTGCCTGATTGTTAGCAGCAGCCGCTTGGCTAACACCTTGCATGTACTGTTAAGCTTCATTATTTAACTCAGCCGGTGAGGGCAGTGCTCTCGCTCCCGGTAACGTATGGTTTTGATTGCAGTAGCGCTATATAGTTGTATTTACTGCTCCTAGTACTAGACTCTAGCACTAGGATGATATGCAGAGAACAATCTTCACTGTGTGTGCTGTGTGCTCTGCATGTGTGGCCATTAAAGAGGATTTCATCCTCCCAATATTATATGATCTAGTGTGCAGGCATTCGTTATGAACTCAACCAGTGAAGGCAGTGTTCTCGCCCCCGCTCCTGGTAGACGTGTTGCTTGATTCTAGCAGCAGCTGCCTGGCTAAGCTGTCCTGTCTTTATTTAATCCAGCTAGGTGAAGGCAGTGCTCTCGCTCCCGCTCCCTCTGCCGGTAATGTGGGTGTAGTTACATCCCTCTCTGTGTTCGGCGAGTAGGAGCATTGCTCTACTCTACCTACAGACTGGCTCATTCATGTAGCGCCTGTATGGCTTCTCTTGAGCCCGAGGACGGCCATGACCGCTGCCCCCCTCTGCCTTGGCCTCGAGCATTTGAGGGAGGGTCTCACGCAAAGCGCCTGCATGAGCTGTAGCTTCATGCCTCGGGCGCTCAGAGTGGCTAGAGTCGCAGAGGTGGTACATCTCCTCGTCATAACTTCCTCCAGCTCAGTCTGGCCGTTCCCGGCGACTTGATGGAGTGATGGCTATGGGTTCACCCCCAGGTAGAGGGCTAGAAACAGGCTGTCCTCTAAGGTGGGTCGGTTATCTGCCGTTATGGAGCAGACGAAGTCGCTCCTGTTGGCCCTTCAGCCAGGGGCCGGTGTGGGGGCTACTAGCTTGCCACCTGGCCCTCCTTTGGTTGTCACACCTCTGCTTGTCGCTTGTCGCATGTCGCTACCGGCTCCAGCTAAACCTCATCTATGAAGGGGGGGGCGGGGCCCCGCTCACCCCCGAAGAGGCTTCCCACTCCTCTGCTCAGAGCTCTCTGTAGGGCATGGAGGACGCCTCCATGGCGGCCATTATTCGTGCGGCCCTGGTACGCTTGCAGCTTCAGGTTCCGCAGGCCGATTCGGCTCAGGCTAGCGCCTTCTTCAGGCATAACCCTGCCCCTTTTCACTCTCACTGTTCCTCCTTCAGAGGAGTACCTGAGGGAGCTCCATGCATGCTGGAGAGACACCAGGGCCCTCTCCCACTCTGCTGCCATGCAGGATCCGGCGAGGGTGGGGCTGGGTCGCTTGCCATCCATTGAGCCTGCCATCGCCTCCCCGATTTTGGCTCCTGATGCCAGGTGCCCTCGGCTTCAGTGCAGTGTCACAAACAAGCTGCTCTATAGGGCCTACGACACAGCGGCACGGGAACTCCCTCTCTCATCTGATACTGGCTGTCTCTACCTCTCTGCAGCAGGCTCCGGCTGAGCCTTCTTTGCTGGGCCTCAGTGATGCATCACTGTAAACCTTTGCCCTAATGTCTAGGGAATGGGGACGAGTTATGTCCTTATTGGTGCAGAGTCGTCGCCAGGTTTGGCCTGCTCAGTCACCACTGTCGGAGACATGTCCTCCGTAGTGTGCCAGTCGAGCCAGGGGAGCTGTTTGGGGCAGCTGCCCTGTAGGCACTGGAGCGTGCTGCCCAAGCTAGGCACACCAGGCAGCAGCTCTCGGGTCTTCATAGGCCTGTGCCCAGGGGCCCCTCTAGCAGCCGCTCTCAGCCACCAGCTTACAGTGGTGGTCTGCGCAGGTTCCAACTCATTCACCTCCTGGGGGCTTTCGTGCCGCCGGCCTTCTAGTCGGCCTCGTGCCTCAGAGCCTTACTGGCGCCCCCAGGGGGCTCCGGAGGCCGGGGGGTTTAGGCCCAGAGACTCTCTGGGCCGGTCGTCGGCTGCTTTCCCAGCTCAGTTACTGGGCTGTCTGTACTTCCGGCCCTTTGGTGGTTTTCACCTTAACCCAGGGGTACGAACCGCAGTTCCGGCCCCTAGCCTTCGGCCGGGCCAAAATGACAGTCGTCAGCGATCCGGCAGAGGCCCTAGCTCTGGCCCAAAGTAGTCCGTCCTTCTGTCCAAGGACGCAATCGAGCCAGTAGACCCTCTGCTTAGCCCAGGGGGTTCTACTCGGCGTACTTTCTCGTGAGCAAGAAAGTCGGCGGATTTCTCCTAATCTTGGACCTCAGTGGAATCAACAGATTCCTGAAGGTGCTGCCATTCTATATGCTGACCACAGCACATGCACAGGCGGAGTGGTTCTCAACCGTGGACTTGAGGGATGCCTACTTCCACGTGGGCCGGGCAAGATGGTGCCTTATATTCAGTTCCTCTGGCCCTTGGACAGACTGACGGCTGCCTCGGCCGCTGGGCCCTTAGGCCCGCTGTCGTTGCGCCCCATGCAGATGTGGCTGAACAGCCTTCACTTGGATGCCAAGTGGCACAGGCACAGGAAAGTCAGGGTGTTGCAACATTGCCTCCACTCTGTGTCACGCTGGAGGGGCAGGGCCTATCTCCTGGTGGGCGTGCCCATGGGCGCCATCCCATCCCGCCAGGAGACCATCACCATAGGTGCATGTCTCTCAGAGTGGGGTGCAGTACAGCAGGGCAGGACCGTTCAGGGTCAGCGGTCTGCCCAGGAGGGTGCACGCCATGTCAACGTGCTAGAGCTTCGGGTTGTGCAGCTTGCACTCACGCACTTTCTACCCCAACTGGGGGGCAGGAATGTGCTTGTTCCTTGGGACAGCATCTACGCTGTTGCCCAGACAACAGTCCCTTCTAGATAGTGGATGTTCTCACTCCACTCTGAATTTATGTGGCTGCTATTTCTGCTCGACATGTTCGGGTCGACGGCGCCACGGAGGGGTGCCACAGGTCGGTGTTCCTCTTCATGAGAGGGGCTTTACGGCAGCGTCCCCCTAGCACCCCGAGGGCTCCGGCTTGGGACCTGCCCCTGCTGCCGGATGCCCTATCATCTCCTCCCTTCGAGCCCCTGGCCCAGGTGGGGCTTAGGTGGCTGCCTAGGTGCATTTCGTCTTGCCATAGCCTCAGGGAAGCAAGTTGGGGAGTTGCATGTCCTCTCCATAAACGAAACATGCCCGAGGTGGGATTCTCAGGTGTTGCCCTTTGGGCAAATATGGCATTCCTGCCCAGGGTGCTTCCACAAACCCACTTCAATCAGCCTGCCGAGCTGGCACGCTTTGACATTCAGGAGAACGGCACGTCGAAGTTGCTGTGCCCTGTGGGTGCCCAAAGGGCATATATCGAAGCTACTGCCTGTATACGGCAGTAGGAGCAACTCTTAATTTTGCCATGGCGGCACTAAAGGAGGTTGTGCCCTCTAACCAGTGGCTGCCTCACTGGGTTGTCGATACCCCGTAGGCATCTCCCAGTGGCCGCCCCCCTGCCATCAGGGCTGAGATGCCACTCTACAAGGAGCATCTCAACATCTTGGGCTGCCCTGAGAGTGGTGCCCCTGGAGACCATCTGCGCCGCGGTGTCGTGGGCATCTTCTGGCACATTCTCCAGTTATCAGGTAATGTCGCCACTCTGGCGGTCTGTAGGGACGAAATAGAACAATAGTTACGGCTGTAACTACGGTTCTATGAGTCCCGGATGACCGCCAGAGTTTCCTGTCACTCAGAATTCTTGTGTGCTCGCGAGAAGATTCTGGGAGCCGATCCGCTAATGACACCGGCCTATGTAGCCGTCGTCACGTGGGTCACAGGTGACTTTGTTGTTATTAGGTACTCGAACTGCGCATGCGTGCAATGGATATATCCAGTGCTAAAGCACCGCCTCTGGTGGTCATCCGGGACTCATAGAACCGTAGTTACAGCCATAACAATCGTTATGAGAGGTTCTTATAGAAGTTACTTTCAATTACACTGATACAATATGGTTATTTGTTTAATTTAATAACCAAACAGTGTTTCTTGAGTGTTGATGTAATATATTTTTGTGTATTTCTTTATTTATATTCCAAAGCAAATTCCTCGTCTTTGTAAAAAAAGAAATTCAGATTTATTAGAAGCATTCTGGAGTTAATTGCAGTTTTGAAGTCATATTATGACAGGAGCCTTTTTACAGAGACTTTAACATGCAGAGACCTCACATTAATGTTTGGTAACCATGGTAATTAAGGTAAGAAAAAAGCTATTACAGATGAGCACTCAATGTTCTTTCCTAAGTTCAGATATTGAAGTATATTACACAAGCAACTTCCCGAAAACTAAAATGAACTCCTACACTTTAACATGTGCTGCGAAAAAAGTTTCTGTTCAAACAGGAAGTGCAAGCTAACTTGTTGAATCCATATGGATGCTCTTTGATGCTTTTACACAACTATCGAAATATGAACAATTTATTGCTTTTATACCATGATTGTTTCCTAGTACGAACCAAAATAGCTCACTAGTTCCTACCATCCCTGAAGGCAACATGGCTGAGAAAGGGCTTCAGCTTTAATTTGCTGTCACTCGTGATTCAAACCCCTTAACCCCGCAGTTAAGGCCCGCCTCCCAACAACACATCTGGGCCAAAAGTCTGAAAGATAAGAAATACGATCTAAAGATAAAAACCATCTGAAACTGAAGAATTACATTTGAAAATATGAAATAACAGTTCTGAATCTGAAAGTATAAAATCTGCAGCTGAAAATAAGAAGAACTAAAGAAATAGAATCTATAGACAAAAGGGAAATGTGAAAGAATACAGTTTATTCCAAATAATTACTAAACTGAATCAAAAATAATATTCAAACTGAAAAACTTTTCATACACTTATTATTAGTTTGGATACATCATCTTATTTTTAAAAGTTCAGGATCAAAACTTTCAGATTATCTTTATTTTTTTAAATGATCAAAACTTTAGGCCAGTATTTAGCTCCATAGATTTTTCTCTGATACCAAAAAACTTCCATGTTAGACAGCCGCTGGTGTAAGTTTACCTCTAAAGGGTTTCTGTCTCCTGTGTGCAGGGGCCATCGTCATGGAGAAGCCCAACGTCAGGTGGAGCGACGTGGCCGGACTGGAGGGAGCCAAGGAGGCTCTGAAGGAAGCCGTCATCCTACCCATCAAGTTCCCTCACCTCTTCACAGGTACACACTAGGGGCGTTCACACAAAGTTCTTTTCCCACAATAGTTCATGAGAACTCTTTTAGTTCTGATTAACTAAAGCAGATCGCGTTCACACCGCAATGAGTTCCTGGGGGTGGATTAGGCAAATGAAGCCGCTGACGTCACTTCTTCTTCTGCTTTGAGTTTACTGGCAGGCCGCAAACAACTTCCCGGCGAGTACAGTAGGTGGCGGTATGCATAGATATATATATAAACACTAGATGACTCACCCGCGCTGCTGGGCAATGGAGACCGACGTTGCCACATGGCGGCCATCATGCCGCAGGCAGCTCACTCATTGATAACATTATGTCTCTGGTGCACTATTGAAATAACCGTAGATTGCTCAATTTTCAACCAACTTTCAAACGGTTTGGTTTGTTATAAACATCAAATATGTAGTTATGATACTGCATACTTATAATTATAATCATGAACTTTTTTTTTTCAACATGTCTTGTTGTCTCCTGTATCATAGCCATGATAATAACGTTTATAATAAACCAAACCGTTTGTAAATCAGTCAAGATTTCAGCGAGTTAAGAGTATTTTTGTGCAGATCACTCACCTCACAACAGCTGTAGCAGTAGTTGTTGACTGTGGCAAGATGGCCGCCGGTGAGCTACGCTGGCGACTCCCCCTTCAGCCATCTAGTGTTTATATATATCTATGGCGGTATGCACCTTAAAGTTGCAATCCACCAAAAAAACGAGAGAAGAAGAAGAAAAACTTCCGCTTCCTCAGACATGATGGAGTTGACACGCCCTTATGTAAATTGTAAATTGACAATAAAGCTGATCTTTTGTACAGTGCTTTTGGTTCTCTCTTTTATTTACCACAGTCAACAGACAAAATTACAGTTACAGATAAAGTGTCAGAGGAGAAATAAGCAAGATACAGGATCTGTTTAATCGCCATGTAGTTTCTCTTTTATTTATCAGCAGCAGATCAATAAGTGTCAGTAGTATCAAAACAATATAATAACAGTGGCAATATATATATAATAACAATAATAGGTAGGCTCAGCAGCAGACACACCCTAGTGCAAAGTTATGTGTCAGTATTAATAACAGTGGCATATATATATATATATATAATAACAATAATACAAAATTGACTGTCCCAGATGTGGGGATTATTTTGACCCGGCATGATTTAGCGCTATGGACGATTCCCATGGCCGCTAACTTTACCGAAATACAGTCGTACTGTACATTTTCGTGTTGGACACTGCCTTCAGTAGAAGTCTCTGGATCGCGTCGTCCGAGTAAATCTCCAGAAGCGCCGACACATCACTCCACCGCTCCGCTGATTTATTTGGTGTTGCCATAACTGCTTTCACAAAAGTAATCTCTTCGTTGGTGCGCTGCGCTGAGCTTTTAATGCGAGCAAATACAATGGCAGCTTCCAAAACTTTTTCAGAGATCTACGGGGCGTGGTTTGCAATCCGCCCAGCCAATCAGAAATACGAACCTTTTTCTACCACGAAAGTCCCTGCTCTCTAGCAGGGATTGAAAAGGGGGTAAAAATGGTTCTGATTAACTAATTTAGTTCAGGGGGCTTTTTGGTGTGAATGCAAATATATTCTGATGAACTATTGTGTCAAAAGTACTCCGGTGTGAACGCGCCAACTGACACATACAATGATCCAAAAGGTGAGAAGGATGGCAAAGTTATTACATTAAAAAATGAACATTAATATCAGAGCAGATCAGAGGATATCAGCTTGATGTAATAGAATTATATAATTCACTTTAGATGTTCTTCAAGGCTGTCAAATTGTATTTTGCCGCGTTCACACCAAGTACTTTGCCGTACTTAGTTCCCAGCACTTAGTTCCCCTATGGAACTAAGAGCCGATCGCGTTCACACAGGAATAAGTTCCCTGAGGGAGGATGAGGCAAATGAAGCCGCTGACGTCACTTCTTCTTCTTCTGCTTTGGGTTTACTGGCAGGCCGCAAACCACTTCACGGCGTATACTGCCACCCGAAGTCCCCGGCCGGAAGTCCCCGGAGTTGGGGACTGGCCTTCCGAGTAAATCGCCAGAACGCCGACACCTCCTCATCTCCACCGCTCCCATGTTTTCTTTTGTGTTGCCATAAGTTTGTCTCTCTGCGTTTGTGCGCTGGGCTAATGCTAATGCTAATAATGCTAATGCAAGGATAATAAAATGGCAGCTCTTCAAAACATTTCAGAGTTTTACGGGGCGTGGTTTGCAATTCGCCACGCCAATCAGAACTGGGGCACTTTTTTCCCCCCAGGAGAGTACCACCTCTCAGCAGGCACTAAAAATGGTGGTAAAAGTTCACTGCACTAAGTACTCTTTTTGGTGTGGACGCGACATAAGGGGTACTAACGGAACTAAACGGGAAAAGTACTCCGGTGTGAACGCGCCTATTACCTAGATAGTTCCCTCTCATGACCAACATGTCTTCTGATCTCAGGCAAGCGGACCCCGTGGAGAGGCATCCTGTTGTTCGGCCCCCCAGGCACGGGGAAGTCGTACCTGGCTAAGGCTGTGGCCACAGAGGCCAACAACTCCACCTTCTTCTCCGTCTCCTCCTCAGACCTGGTGTCCAAGTGGCTGGGAGAGAGTGAGAAGTACGTCTCTTCCTGGGCGGGGATCTGTAGTCTGAAGCTGTACTCTAACCTGGGAAAGACACCTTTATTATAGAGACGGGTTGTGTTTTCAGCCCACTGCTCTCAAACCAGTTACACACAACTTCCCCAACAACCAACAGTAGTGACAGTAGTTGTAGCATTTTTTAGACTTTTAAACTTTAATTACCGGTGTTGCGCCCCCTATCCCCCCCCAAACACACACACACAAGGGCGCAACAGCGGTAATTCAAGTTTAAAAGTCTCAAAATGCTACAACTACTGTCACAAACTGGATGAATGTGAAGTATTTTGTTAAAGGAGGATGAAAGCGTAATTAAGGAGCACTGTTGGAGTGACTTTGATGGTTATTGGACTCTGGATTAATTAAGATTCCCGCTGTATGAAGAAATTAAAAGGACGGCGCAAGTGGAAACAATTCACAAAGGGATTAAACTGTTTAAAACACATGCTCAAAGTAAGCCGGATTTTGCCGATGTGTTTATGTGGATTCAAAAGTCGTAAATAATCTACAAAATGGAGGAGAACGATCTGATCGGAGCAACTGTGACAAATAATCCAACTGAAACCGGCATGGACAATGACTATGTTTTAAAAATGCGTTTATCCAGAAAAGCCTGGTTTGGACGCTTTACGGGCAGAAGAAACATTTCTATTAAAGAAAGAATTATTAATTTCTGTCTTTTTATGCCTTTAATAGCTACTAACTTGAATTTTTATTCAAATTAATTAATCAATTATTTTTTATATTTTATTGTAATGTAGCGACAATCATGTATTGCGTTACAATTATATGTAAAAAAAAAAAAGATTTTAAAAAAAAAAGTCTAAATCTGATATTTGGCCTCAAATCATCTGAAGCCCTGCGATCTTTGCGCAGCCCTGCGATCTTTGCGCAGCCCCCCAGGTTGGGAACTACTGGCAGCCCCCCAGGTTGGGAACCACTGGCCTAGAGGGCCCTGACGGCTCGTCACTGGTTAACTATGAAATCAATTTGGGTTCAGTTTATGGGATAGGGACACTTTGACATGTTGACTGCAAGGACTGGGGGATGGAACCCCTGACGCTCTGATTGGTAGACGCCCATTTACATCCTGAGACACAGTCGCCCCTCCAGTCCACATGTTGAAGTGTCCTTATGCAAGATGATGAACCCCAAAGCTCCCGTAGACATGTCTAAAGTATTGATGTGCAAGTTGCTTTGGATAAGAGCGTCAGCTGAATAACACATGATGTGATATGATGTAGTGAACCTGCTCAAAGACAAGGTGAAGAGGAACACTCATCACCTCTTTGACTCACAGTCACTTAGGCTGCAGCCACATGAGGACGTTAACGGAAACACACCGCAACAGGCACCAGAAACGTGTCCGTCCACACGAGACAGGTCGAACCGCTGGAGACGCTGTAGTACATATGCCGGGCCTGTAAGTGGCGCTGTACTTCTGCCACAAAATACACCAAAAGCAGCGAAGAAGACTTCTCGCGCATGCATGGTTGCCCTTCTGTTTATTCTCCTTACTGGATTTAGTAGCAGAGGTGGGGTTTCGCCGGTCAACATGTCCGTTAAAGTTTAAATCTTCTGGACAAAAAGTGCCGGTCAAAGGTCTTCTTTGTTATTTATTGAGCTTTAAAACAAATGAATAACGACTCTATATAATAATATAAAAATAATACACGGAGGACGGAGCCTCTCTTTTCCTCCCCCTCTCATGACAGCCCGTCAGTATCCGTGGTCTCATGCAGCTGGCTGATCCAGTAATGAGTGACCCGACAGTAAAAATAAACATATTTATAACTAGTTTAGGTAGTTTGAGAGGTAATTAAAATAGCTAAGGGTGATGATCTAACTTGAAGTGTGTGTTTTGTTCCGCTCATCGCTCCATCACAGCGGGCGGAGCTGCAGGTTGTCATGCCGAGCTGCGTGTCTCCTCTCCTATCCGATTAGACTTCACTCGCGTTTATGTCCATATCGATCAAATCTAGCTGGAAGCTCCTGCTGGGTGCGCTGTCCTGCGAGATACCGGGACCTGGCTCGAAACACTGGGGCTATTGCATCATCGTTATCAGGAAATGATCGTTATAGGGCGTAATCACGGAGCCGTTGGCTCCCCCAGAGCATTTCGTCCGCAGATCTACCCACCTTGGGACCCGTTATCGTTATTGTTTTCTGCGTTTCCATGTCGGCCTCGTGTGGCCGAACCGTCTATCTGATAGAGAACTGTAGCAGATACGCCCGTTATCGTCCTCGTGTGGCTGCAGCCATAGAAGGACTGTGCCTTCTCTAATATTGCAATCAATCTGTCTCCGCCCCTGCCCACCCCCAGGTTGGTGAAGAACTTGTTTGACCTAGCTCGGCAACACAAGCCCTCCATCATCTTCATCGACGAGGTGGACTCGCTCTGCGGCTCCAGGAACGAGAACGAAAGTGAGGCCGCCCGCCGCATCAAGACGGAGTTCCTGGTCCAGATGCAGGGTGAGACACCTGACACCGTCTAGACTATTCTAATGTTGTGTGTACTTTACCAAGGTCATCCTAAATATGCGAATACAGAAAAGCTGACTGAAGCTCTGTGGTTGTGCAGGTGTGGCAAACAACAACGATGGGGTCCTGGTGCTCGGGGCCACCAACATCCCCTGGGTGCTGGACGCTGCCATCCGCAGAAGGTCAGAGGTCACTCCATGTGTTTACCTCACCATGACTTCTGCGGTGTTATTATTATTCAGACAACCAAATGATTCTCTGTCAGTCAGAAGAGACACTTATGCCATGCTTATACATGCATATATAACAGCTGTGTGTACACTCTAAACACTGTGAGTCTGGGCAACTGCAGCATGGTCATAGTCTGTTATTTAGTGGGAATGCTGATACAGCATTCCCACTATCTGTTATGCTACGCACGAAATTCTTTATTATTCCGCCGGGTTAATTTGCACCTCTTCTTCTCCCACATTCCACATCACAGAAACTCCTTGAAGGAGGTTGTCACTCAAAATCTCACGATATATGGCCCCATTCATTCTTTCCTTTACACGGATCAGTTGTCCTGGTCCCTTTGCAGAAAAACAGCCCCAAAGCATGATGTTTCCACCCCCATGTTTCACAGTAGGTATGGTGTTCTTTGGATGCAACTCAGCATTCTTTCTCCTCCAAACATGTCTCGTTGAGTTTTTACCAAAAAGTTCTATTTTGGTTTCATCTAACCATATGACATTCTCCCAATCCTCTTCTGGATCATCTAAATGCTCTCTAGCAAACTTCAGACGGGCCTGGACATGTACTGGCTTAAGCAGGGGGACACGTCTGGCACTGCAGGATTTGAGTCCCTGGCGGCGTAGTGTGTTACTGATGGTAGCCTTTGTTACTTTGTTCCCAGCTCTCTGCAGGTCATTGACTAGGTCCCCCCGTGTGGTTCTGGGATTTTTGCTCACCGTTCTTGTGATCATTTTGACCCCACGGGGTGAGATCTTGCGTGGAGCCTGAGATCGAGGGAGATTATCAGTGGTCTTGTATGTCTTCCATTTTCTAATAGTTGCTCCCACAGTTGATTTCTTCACACCAAGCTGCTTACCTATTGCAGATTCAGTCTTCCCAGCCTGGTGCAGGTCTACAATTTTGTTTCTGGTGTCCTTTGACAGCTCTTTGGTCTTGGCCATAGTGCAGTTTGGAGTGTGACTGTTTGAGGTTGTGGACAGGTGTCTTTTATACTGATAACGAGTTCAAACAGGTGCCATTAATACAGTTAACAAGTGGAGGACAGAGGAGGCTCTTAAAGAAGAAGTTACAGGTCTGTGAGAGCCAGAAATCTTGTTTGTTTGGAGGTGACCAAATACTTATTTTACCGAGGAATTTACCAATGAATTCGTTAAAAATCCTACAATGTGATTTCCTGGATTCTTTCCCCCCATTCTGTTACATTACATTACATTACATTGCATTTAGCTGACGCTTTTATCCAAAGCGACTTACAATAAGTACATTCGACCAGGAAGACACAACCTTGAAGAAAACAGAATCATATAAGTACATCAGGTTTCATAGAGCCAAACATTTCAAGTGCTACTCACTGGCTTTAGGTAAGCCAGTCCTTTATTAGTATAAAAGTGCTTCGTTAATAGTTCTAACGCTCGAAGTGGAGTCGAAAGAGATGAGTTTTCAGTCTGCGCCGGAAGATGTGCAAGCTATCTGCCGTCCTGATGTCAATGGGGAGCTCATTCCACCATCTTGGAGCCAGGACAGCAAACCCACGTGTTTTCGCCGATGGGAACTTGGGTCCCCCTCGCAGCGAGGGCGCACGAGTCGTTTGGCTGATGCAGAGCGTAGTGCACGGGCTGGGGTGTACGGTTTAACCATGTCCTGGATGTAGGAAGGGCCAGATCCATTCGCAGCATGGTAAGCAAGTACCAGTGTCTTGAAGTGGATTCTAGCAGTTACCGGAAGCCAGTGAAGGGAGCGGAGGAGCGGAGTGGTGTGGGAGAATTTAGGAAGGTTGAAGACCAGACGAGCCGCTGCATTCTGGATGAGCTGCAGAGGTCGGATGGCACATGCAGGTAGACCAGCCAGGAGGGAGTTGCAGTAGTCTAGGCGTGAGATGACGAGAGCCTGGACCAGAACCTGAGTCGCTTTCTGAGTCAGCTGGGGACGTATCTTCCTGATGTTGTAAAGCGTGTATCTGCAGCAACGGGTTGTAGCAGCGATGTTTGCAGTGAAGGACAGGTTGTTATCTAGGGTCACACCCAGATTCCTTGCAGTCTGAGTCGGGGAAACAACTGAGGTGCCGATGTTGATTGTTAGGTCAAGAGTGGGACAATCTTTTCCCGGGAGGAAGAGCAGCTCAGTCTTGTCAAGGTTGAGCTTGAGGTGGTGAGCAGACATCCACTGAGAGATGTCAGCTAGACAAGCAGAGATGCGTGCGACGACCTGGGTCTCTGAGCGGGGAAAGGACAGAATTAATTGGGTGTCATCAGCGTAGCAGTGGTAAGAAAAACCATGCGGGCTAATGACTGATCCGAGCGAGTTTGTGTACAGGGAGAAGAGGAGGGGACCCAGAACAGAGCCCTGAGGGACCCCCGTAGTTAATTGACAAGGGTCGGACTCAGACCCTCTCCAAGTCACCCTGTAGGTACGGTCTTTCAGGTATGAGGTGAGGAGGGAAAGTGCAGAGCCTGAAACTCCAAGTTTTTGGAGAGTGCGAAGGAGGATCTGATGATTCACCGTGTCGAATGCAGCAGACAGGTCCAATAGGATGATGACAGAGGAGAGGGATGCAGTTTTGGCAGTGTGCAGTTCCTCCGTGACAGCAATGAGAGCAGTTTCTGTGGAGTGACCTGCCTTGAAACCAGACTGGTGCGGATCCAGAAGGTTGTTCTGATTGAGATAACGGGAGAGTTGTTTAAAGACAGCGCGTTCAAGTGATTTAGACAGGAACGGGAGGAGAGAGACAGGCCTGTAGTTTATAACATCAGACGGGTTGAGAGTGGGTTTCTTTAGGAGAGGGTTTACTCTTGCCTCCTTGAGACTGTTTGGAAAGTGACCAGAAGTTAGAGAAGTGTTGATGAAATGGGTGAGAAACGGTAGAATATCAGGAGCGATAGTCTGAAGGAGGTTTGAAGGGATAGGGTCCAGAGGACAGGTGGTAGGGCGGGCAGAGGTAATGAGGGTAAGAACTTCACTTGGAGAGAGAGGGGAAAAGGAGGTGTGTTGGTGGAAGGAGGGTCAGGTGACCCAGCGGTGAGTAAAGGTGAGTCAGAAAAAGAAGAGCGAATATCATCAACCTTTTTTTCAAAGTGGGTAACAAAGTCGCTTGACAGAAGTGAGGAGGGGGGAGGAGCTTTTGGAGGGTCCAAGAGGGTGGAGAAGATGGAAAATAGTTTTTTAGGATTGGAATAGGAAGATTGGATCTTATCTTGAAAGAAAGTGCTTTTTGCCTGAGAGATCGAAGCAGAGAAAGAGGAGAGGAGAGCCTGATAGGTTAGGAGGTCGTCACGGTGTTTGGATTTCCACCATTTCCGCTCTGCTGCCCTAAGGACGGTTCTATTAGCACGCAGTGCATCATTTAGCCAGGGAGCAGGAGGGGACTGACGAGCCTGCCGAGATGTGAGAGGACAGAGCGAGTCCAGAGTGGATGAGAGAGTAGAGAGGAGAGTTTCTGCAGCAGAGTTTGGAGGCAGGAGATGGAACGAATCAGAGGAAGGGAGGGCTGAGAGCACCGACGAGGCAAAGCTAGAGGGGGAGAGGGAGCGAATTTTACGGCGGACAGGTGCAGGATGAGAAGAGATTAGTTTGTTATGTTTGGAAAGGGATAGAGAGAATGAAATTAAGAAGTGATCGGATGTGTGGAGCGGGTTTACAGAGAGGTTAGAAGTAGCGCAGTTCCTTGAGAATATGAGATCAAGGACATTGCCAGCTTTATGAGTAGGTGGGGACGGAGACAGTGAGAAAGCAAAGGCGGTTAACAGAGATGTTAGTTCGTCTATCTTCCCCGTCTGGAGGTTGAAGTCTCTGAGAAGTACAGCGGGAGGGCCAGTTTCAGGGATGAGTGAGAGGAGATTATCTAATTCCTCCAAGAAGTCCCCCAAGGCGCCTGGTGGACGGTAGAGAACAACAATGGTTCATTGTAGAGGATGGGTTACTGTGACGGCATGGAATTCAAAGGTGGAAGGAGTGAAGTTAGGTAGCTTGAAGAGGGAAAAGCTCCATTTGGGAGAGAGCAGGAGACCAGTGCCATCTCCTCTGCCAGTGGGTCTGGGTGTATGGGAGAAGGAATATGCAGTGGAGAGAGCTGCTGGGGTGGATGTGTTGGATGGAGTAATCCAGGTCTCAGTGAGAGCAAGGAAATCCAGAGACTGCAGGGAGGCGTAGCCAGAGATGAAGTCAGCCTTAGGAACAGCTGACTGGCAATTCCACAGGCCACCAGAAACTAGATGTTGGATCTCAGTGGAGCACGTGGGATAGACGAGAGCAGGCCGGTTATATCGATTAGGAGATACACGGGGCCAGTGATAATTGCGAGAAGACACATGAACAGGAATAGAGAAAATACACATGATTATAGCATGAGGGGCTAGAAAACTAAAGAAAAGAGAAACAAGACACCAGCTCGATCAGAGTAGGATTTTCCTCCCTCGTGACTCCCGCAGGACTCCAATGTATTTGTCAGTCTTACTCCCGCAGGACTCCAATGTCTTTGTCAGTCTTCGGCTGTCTGACGCTGAAGCTAACGCTCCAGGAAAGAGCTACCCGAAATGGACGCCTGATTGCTCAGTTCTCACAGCTGTAGGGCCACGGCCCTCTAATTAGTTAACTATCTACAGCTGATGGGCGACAATAGACTGGCCGTGCCTATATTAATGCAGGCTTGAGTGCTGAGACCTGTAAAGCAGGTTTCGCCTGAGCAGATCTGAGATTTAAAATCTCTCAAACGCGATTTAGCCGTTTACGCTACAATAACAATTTATACAGAGTCGAATAAATGAAACAGAGAAGTCTAATTAAACAAGAATATAACTTACAGTGGTTGCTGCGTCAATAGGTAATGTCGTCACCGGGTCCAGATGCACACTGAGTTCATCAGATTTTAAATGCGGTATTTAAATGCTTTTTAAGGTACAAAATGACTGAGTCACGCGGTTGTACTTCACGCTATCAATAGACTGGCCGTGCCTATATTAATGCAGGCTTGAGTGCTGAGACCTGTAAAGCAGATTTCGCCTGAGCAGATCTGAGATTTAAAATCTCTCTTCTGTCTCTCATAGTTGAAGTGTACCTAGGATGAAAATTACAGGCCTCTCATCTTTTTAAGTGGGAGAACTTGCACAATTGGTGGCTGACTAAATACTTTTTTGCCCCACTGTAGATGATGTTTGTCAATTTAAAAGATAAGTCAAAAATAAATAAATGTGTCGTAAAACTGTGAAGTAACACATTTGTTTGTGTAAAACGCTCAATGAACTACATCTCTGGTCTTGCAGAACAACACACGTCACCAAGAGGCTAATAAAAATGACAAGGCTGTAATGCTAACTAACGTGCTAGCTACTAGCTAGGTAGCTAACTTGATCCAGCCACTCCTGGTCCTTTCATCAGACGGGAAGCGAAAGAACGAGCAAGACCCATTGCTGGTATGATAACAACCTGGTACTAAGCACACAGGCATTTTGTTAAAGTTATCTTATCTTAGCCAGCGCCATATAGATAGATTATATCTATATGGCGCTGATCTTAGCTATCTCTTAGTGGAGGAAAACAATTGTGACATCACTTACGCGACTCTGGGATTTGTAGTCTTTCTAGTTGCATATTTTTCATAGTCTTATATTTCAACAGTTTTACGACAAACTGTGACTTTTTTGACACGGAAATGATTTTTTAAGATTGACAAACATCATATGTGTAATTCATGGCACAATTCAAACGGGATCGAAAGATAAGTGTAAGAGCCATTTAGCCACATTATTTTATGGTAATGAATTATGGTTTTGTGAGCCAATTGAATATTCTTTAATTTAACTTAAATTAGCTGAATAACCACGAATTATTATTATACTGTTTTTGTAACGTGTTATCTTGCTTATGGACAGCTCTAGTTTATGTTTTGTTATTATTTATAGAAAGCAATCGTAGGGGTGTGCTCAGGTATAAATGACACTGCCAGCATGACACAGCAGGAAGTCTGAGAGGAAGTTGGAAAAAGTTTTTGACCGCACACACGACACATCCGTAAAGACCGAGGGATCTTGTTTGTTTATTTGTTTAAATACCGTGCAAATATTGCATGTCAGCAGTGGGCCGCCAGCTGATCTATTGAACCTCTCAATAAAGTACCTGAATGGAATGAGCAAGTATCTGATTTCTTGAATATACGCGAGTCAATACTCGAACTCGCCTCCTAGACTAAGTGGCCTTTGAACATTAATTTTCTTTTGGACAATTGGCCACTACAATACGTTTTCTCTCTCCATTGACTTCAATACATTATTTTTCCGAAATAAGGTCCCATGGACCGGAAGTAGATGGGCGTGACTTCGCCACTCTATGGACACGGTCCGATCGCCCCCCAAACTTCACTTGTATATCACCGGTCCATGCCTCAACAGCTCTACGCCAAATCTGACATCTCACCATAGGCTGTTTCCATGGAAACGCATCCCTCGCCAAAAAACAACTGATATGAAAATGGTCAAAACACTTCCAGACTTCAGATGACAGTTAATGGTCCAGCCTTCAACAACATGTCTATGTGCCATTAGTGAGTTTTCCTCAAAAGCTGTTGCCATGGCAACTCATCCCTCGCCGTAAAACACGATATTGCTATAACTCCTATGAAAATGGTCAAAAAGTGCTCAAACTTCACGTGTGCTAACAGTCCAGCTGTGAAGACATCTACGTGACCGTTTTGAAATGTATTCAAATGCCGTTGCCATGGCAACACAAAGCTCGCTATGAAACACACGGTTTTCTCATAACTTCAGTGAAATGCTCCAAGCGGCCCAAAACTTTACAGGTTTGGTAACGATGCAGCCATCAAAACATCTAAGCGTATTATGGGGTGTCATCAAATACCGTTGCCATGGCGACAGATCATTCGTCATCAAGTTAGTTCAATAGTTTGCAGTTCAAATATTTTTACTTTCTTTTCTTCTCTTATCACACATTCAAGTGTTCATGTATAATTTCAATCTAAATTCTTCACTTTCTTCTTACACATTACATTTCAGCATAGCAATTCAGTGTTAGCTTTTCAGCATAAAGCATTCCAACTAGGAATTTATTCAGGAATTGCATTCTCTAGTTATAATAACAGATTCATCTTCTTTAGTCTTTACATCTCTTGGTAGTTTGTGAGTGCCACACAAAAACTCACAAAATAGAATTAAATATATATTTTCAGCGAGCTATGAAAAGTAACAACATGGATTTTGATGCAACACACAGAGAGTGTACCAGCACCATAGGATCAGAAATTGTGGTTTAATGGGGACAGCTTTGTTTTACTTCATGTCGCCTACACAGTGTTATAAACGTATTATATGGGTTTAGGTTAAACTTCCAAAAAACAAAATAACTTGCCAAAATGTAAGCCATATGCATTCACAAGGTCAAAATTATCAAATCTAAAATGCATGTTCCCAGTGAGGCACAAGGCTTAAATGTGTGTGAAGCTGCTCACTGATGGAGAGGGGGGTTTCCTCTATGGGGGGTCAGGTTTGAGAAGCGGATCTACATCCCCCTGCCGGAGGAGCCGGCTCGGGCTCAGATGTTCCGCCTCCACCTGGGGAACACGCCTCACAGCCTGAGCGAGCCCGACCTGCGGCAGCTCGCCCACAAAACCCAGGGGTACTCCGGCGCTGACATCAGCATCATCGTGAGGGACGCTCTCATGCAGCCCGTCAGGAAGGTCCAGTCTGCCACCCACTTCAAAAAGGTGATATCTTCTAAGCCAGTGGGAGAAATTTTTTTTTAAAGGGGACCTATTATGCAAAATGAACTTTTTGATGTCTTTTATACATAAATATGTGTCCCCGGTGTGTCAGGGAACTCACAAAGTGTCAGAAAAGAAAACGCTCTCTCTTTTCCTCCGTACCCACAAAAAAAAACAGGTGTGCAAACGAGCAGATCCAGAATTTTGGCTCCAATGACGTCATTGGCGACATCCGGCACACGCGACACGTCCCAACCTATCGTCTCCGGCACACGTGACACTTCCCAACCTATGGTCTCCATATACAGTCGTCAACCCTGTCGCAGCTGTGTGTCTGTGTATTCAGCAGGATGTCTGCAGGAGGCACTTAGAGTAAAGTTGTTATACTGTATATAATACATATAATGGCACTGTTCTAGTGGTAAACACTTAAGAAAGAACATGTCAAGCTATGTGCTGTATCAGAAACAATGCGTGTTTTGGGAGTAATATGCTCTGTGTTTACATTAGTCAGCATGCTAACACTCAGAGCTAACGCTGTACTGGAAAGAATATGTGTAACGTAATGTCCTTGCGGTAAACCCTGCGAGAGAGAAAGGTTTGAGCTCCATTCTGTTTCAGAAATAATGCTTGAAGTGGTTTGGAACATAATATGGCATTTAATCACGGCAGCGTTTAGCTGAGTTTCTCCGGGTAGAAAACTCTTAGCAGGGGAAAGCTGCGTGATGCTACAAAGGGGCGTGGCTAGCAGCAGCTGTTCCATTTAAAGCAGAATCAGCCTTTTTGCAACAGGGCTGGAATAGAGGGGTATGAGCAGTATGACACCTTAGGAGGGGGAAGCAGGGGACCATCCAAGCTGTGTACAGTAAGGATGGGACGTTGTTGACCTCAACTGATGGAGTGTTAGGGCGTTGGAAGGAACACTTTGAGGAACTCCTGAACCCGACAACTCCGCCCTCTATGTTAGAGGCAGAGCTGGAGTATGACGGGGGATCAACACCAATCTCCCGGGGGGAGGTCACTGAGGTTGTCAAACAACTCCACAGTGGCAAAGCCCCGGGGGTGGATGAGATCCGCCCAGAAATGCTGAAGGCTCTGGGTGTTGTGGGACTGTCATGGTTGACACGTCTCATCAACGTTGCGTGGAAGTCGGAAACAGTACCGAAGGAGTGGCAGACCGGGGTGGTGGTTCCCCTTTTTAAAAAGGGGGATCAGAGGGTGTGTGCCAATTACAGAGGCATCACACTACTCAGCCTCCCCGGGAAAGTTTACTCTAAGGTACTCGAATGGAGGGTCAGGCCGATTGTCGAACCTCAGATTGAGGAGGAACAATGCGGATTCCGTCCTGGTCGTGGAACGACGGATCAGCTTTTTACTCTCGCAAGGATCCTGGAGGGGGCCTGGGAGTACGCTTATCCGGTCTACATGTGTTTTGTAGACTTGGAGAAGGCGTATGACCGAGTTCCCAGGGAGTTACTGTGGGAGGTGCTGCGGGAGTATGGGGTGAGGGGGTCTCTACTCAGGGCCATCCAATCTCTGTACTCCCAAAGCGAGAGCTGTGTCCGGGTCCTCGGCAGTAAGTCGGACCCATTTCCGGTGAGGGTTGGCCTCCGCCAGGGCTGCGCTTTGTCACCAATCCTGTTTGTAATATACATGGATCGGATTTCGAGGCGTAGTCATGGGGGAGGGGGTCTGCAGTTCGGTGGACTAAGGATTGCACCACTGCTTTTTGCAGATGATGTGGTTCTAATGGCTTCATCGATCTGCGACCTTCAGCACTCACTGGATCGGTTCGCAACCGAGTGTGAAGCGGCTGGGATGAGGATCAGCACCTCCAAATCTGAGGCCATGGTTCTTAGCAGGAAACCGATGGACTGTCCACTCCAAGTAGGGAATGAGTCCTTACCCCAAGTGAAGGAGTTCAAGTATCTCGGGGTCTTGTTCTCGAGTGAGGGAACAATGGAGCGTGAGATGGGCCGGAGAATCGGAGCAGCGGGAGCGGTACTGTAGTCGCTTTACCGCACCGTTGTGACGAAAAGGGAGCTGAGCCAGAAGGCAAAGCTCTCTGTCTACCGGGCCATTTTCGTTCCTACCCTCACCTATGGTCATGAAGGATGGGTCATGACCGAAAGAACGAGATCGCGGATACAAGCGGCCGAGATGGGTTTTCTCCGCAGGGTGGCTGGTGTCTCCCTTAGGGATAAGGTGAGAAGTTCGGTCATCCGGGAGGGACTCGGAGTTGAGCCGCTCCTCCTTCGCGTCGAAAGGAGCCAGTTGAGGTGGTTCGGGCACCTAGTTAGGATGTCACCTGGGCGCCTCCCTAGGGAGGTGTTCCAGGCACGTCCAGCTGGGAAGAGACCAAGGGGTAGACCTAGGACCAGGTGGAGGGATTATATCTCTTCGCTGGCCTGGGAGCGCCTTGGGATCCCCCAGTCAGAGCTGGTTGATGTCGCCAGGGAAAAGAAAGTTTGGGGCTCTCTGCTGGAACTGCTGGAACTGCTACCCCCGCGACCCGACCACGGATAAGCGGGAGAAGATGGATGGATGGATGAGCAGTATGAGGCATGGCTACAATGGGTGATCTGTTTGGTATTTTAAGCAAAAAACTTCACAGAGATGATTTGTATAAGTATGGCCCTACAATATATTTTTCAAATGTAGCATTACAGGTCCACTTTAAAGAGGCAATTTCAGTCAATTTCCTGTTATAGTTACTAATTATCCTTAAACACTGATCTCCGTCTCCTGTTCTGACTCGTCAGATTCGAGGGCCGTCCAGAAGCAACAACCAGCTGACGGTGGATGACCTCTTGACCCCTTGTTCCCCTGGCGACCCTGCAGCCATAGAGATGACCTGGATGGAGGTGCCTAGTCATAAGCTGCTGGAGCCTATAGTATGCATGGTGAGATACATATTGAATGTTCAAATTGACCAATCAGAATCGAGTATTCACTTAAGCAGCTTGATAATATCCCGTTATAATATCCCGTTATTCATTCTTTAGTTTGATCAGTCTACTATCAATCTAATTTACCTTAGCTGCACACAATGCTCATCAAAATGTTCCACAGTGTGATGTCTAATGCCGTATAATCTTGCTTGATGGAAAACAACGTGAAGCTAACTGTCCTGCGTCCCCTCTCCTTTCAGTCGGACATGCTGCGCTCCCTGGCCACCACCCGGCCCACGGTCAACACTGAGGACCTGCTGAAGGTCCAGAAGTTCACAGAGGACTTTGGGATGGAGGGCTGAGAGACAAGGCTCCAACTCCCCCCCCCCCCCCCCCCCCCCGCTCCACCAGAAGTCAAACTTCTCCCATCAACTGGGATTCCAAAATAAAAGACTGGAACAAAGACATGGCAAGAAATCTGATCCTCCAGAAGGTCTGAATCCCTGGAGGAAGTTGACAGATTGCTACATTATTTACCATGCTGTGTAGTAGTTGGACTGTAGAGCTCTTTCCCCCCCATTTCAGACTGTTCCATTACAAAGCAGCCGCACCAATGTATCCACTACAACTTTGTGCTTAGACGTGAGGAAGGCTGCTTCAGATCTGAATGATACAGTTTGTCCCTCTCTGAAGGACTGTACATTTGTCTGCCTGTGTGCACTTTGCTTTGGGTTTTAATGAAGGACTGACATTTGAAGAAGAGAGTTCTCCTGCCAGGCATGCGAGTGTGTGACTGCATCTACTTGTTTTTATGAAACTTGTTTGTCTTAATGTATTTTGATGAAGTGAATGAATCATCACTGACTCAGTGTCCCTCTGCAGCTGTCTGCAGGCGTTCATATTTCATATCTACAACAGTAGAGATGTGCTTAAGAGCCAAACACTACATTTCCTCAATCCAAAAAAGAAAAATGTTGTTTTTATTAAGTCTCCAGTAGCTCTTCAGAAAATAATTATCTCACAACGAAGTTGATTTGGTCGTATCACATGTTCTTCTCAGCAGATAGTTGCTTCACTTTCTGACATTAAGGTCATGCTAAAAATTGGAAACAACCTTTAGCAGAGCTTAGAGTTTTCACTTGTATCTCATGGGCTGCTGATAGAGATCATGTGATGCTCTCTAAATCCATTTTCTAAGGTCAAGACTGAAGTTTGAACCTCAGCTCCACTTTTCTTTTTAAAGCAGCTCAAACTATTTCCCTCTTGGACTTTCATCAATTTAAGTTTCAGATTGTTCAGTACGCTGAACACTTCCTGTTAAAGAGAATCAACCAAGCACATCTGTTAACATTTTTGATTTAGTTTTCTCTACTATAAATGATTCAACAGACCACTTGACTGACTAATAGGGATACCGTATGTTTACATTTGAAGTATTTATTTATGTCTTGTGAAGGATTTCTGTTATTTTGGGAGGTAAATATGGCTCAACTCAAGACATCACCATATTGTTTCAGTACCGTCTGCTCAGGGCTTTCCTTCACAAGCTTAGCTAGTATTTGTCTTGTTGTCAGCTTTCAGACAATAAAGAAAGCTAACTGCAGCAGGACCAGTCGGTCTGAATGTTCTGTACTCTCTGACCTCTGCTGATCACAGGCCTGTCTGCAGACTGACGGGACTTCCTGTTTGCTTCAGTGTGAGGTCAGGACGTCCCTGTGAGGGAACTAACCTGCCGCTGAACATTACTACTGACTAACCTGCATTCAATAAACTGACACTTCAAAGGAAAAGGCACAGTTGCTGTTAAGACATCTTTATTATGTTTTACAGATGACAGTTTAAAGACATTTAGAGGCTCTGCAGTCACATTTGAGTTTGGTATATTTACAGACAACCGCTTCAGTGATTTCTGCTAAGGAAGCCCCTGCTTAATTATTACAGTACGTTTAGCCGAGCTGAGGCTCCAAAATGATTACTTTGACATTTGAAAACAAATCCCTGATTTAGCCTAAAGTAAGAAAATAAGATTGATACTCCAAGTCTGTTCAGTAAACATGAAGCTTAGCTTAGCATGTAGACACAGAGTGATATCCATTTTGTCATTTAATTCGCAGAAAAGCTTCTTTTTTTTACGCAAACTATCCCTATAACAACTTATGATGAGGGAGCAGATTCAGGGATGACCCTCACCCAAAGGTCACTTTGACAGTCATCACAAAAACAGATGGCTTTGACGACCAAACATGAGATCTTTACAAAGCTGCCATTTCATTCCATCCCATTTTGTTGCCAAAAACTAATTTTCTTTGAGTTAAAGGCAGATTTTTCTACCTTAAAGTGTATAATGCCGTTCTTCTTCTTCCTGGGCATGCCGTTCAGTCTCATCCTCATGTTAAGATCCAAACTGATCACAGAACAGCAGAGAACGTTATAACAGAACATATAAAATGTGACAAATGCTCGAAACAAAAGTACAAAATGCCTCAGCATTGTTGTCAAGGCAACTCCGTCTTCATTACTTTCCCTTCTTTTGTGCAATAGCCTTGGCAGCAATGCGAGAACTAGGAAGTATAGCTAAAAAAAATAATGCTCCTCATAGCCTTTTTACATGTTCAGATGACCTCTGTGTCATCATACTGAACACAGCGTTCAGTATGATGACCTCTGTGTCATCATACTGAACACAGCGTTCAGTATGATGACCTCTGTGTCATCATACTGAACACAGCGTTCAGTATGATGACAGTGTGACTTATCAGGGGAAATTAATGACTGTTTGCAGTAACATCTCCCCATGAGCAGATCTACGTTCCGTGCACTCGTTGTGAACAGAAACCAACATCCGTTCCTGAGAATGTTCCTCCTGGTCATTTCTGAGTCTGATGTCTCATCAACTCCATCTCCCATCATACTTTGCTGCGTTTGGAGCGGCTCTCTGCTGGGGGGGCGGCCCGTTTGTTGCGATGGTGGGGGAAGGTGGGCATGAGGTCGGGCTCACAGGCTGCAGAGAGGCAGAGAGAGATGAGTGGGGGGGGGTCAGAGGGCAAGGGAAACAGCTGATGATGCATATCATAATCTTTCACTCACGTAGAGGCTTCTCTTTGAAGTAGGAACTGTCCAGACTGTCTTTGGCAGTAGCTCTGGATCAGGAGCACAAATATAAAAACATGATTGATGTTTCAGTCACACAATTTGTTTAACTTAGTTAAAATTGTATTCAACTACATTCTTTAAAAGAAACAAACACACACACAATCCTGCGGAGAACCGCCCAGCCTACCCACAGTAGTTGTGAAGAATCAGCTTGTAGTTTTGAGTGATATTGACATATTTGTATAACTGTATTTTGTATTCGGGATTGTTGGAAACGTTATTTCGATCTCTCTGTCTGTGCAAACACACAGAAAAAGTAACATTGACTTTGAATTCCTGATATATATAAGAATATTGTTGAAGCCTACAGATATCCAGGAACCTTTCCAGCACAGTAGATAAGGGCCACAGGGGCAGATTAGGAAAGACAGAAGCCATCCTCTAATGACTTCTATAGAATAAATGACCACCTGTGTTCAGCATCATTGTGACACCAATGGAAAGAGGACTCAGCAGACAACATGTGTGGATCCAGTGAGCTCGACTGTTCTCTCTGAGTTATTGATCGAGTGTTTCAAATCAGCCCCACAGTTTGTTTGAACCAAAGACAACTTCTTTTTTTCAGGCCAGTGAAAAATGTGGGAATGCAATCTGCTTGAGAAAATAAGAAAGAGAAAAAAAAGGAGAGGAGGGGTTTGCTCCACAGCACTAGCAGGCAGAGCCAGCGTTAATTACTTGTGCCCTGAAGCCCCCCCCCTGACAGTGACGACTTTACGCCCGCACTGCATTCAGTTTCTGAGGGGTCGCGCAATCAGAGGGGAGGCTGAGCGTGTCTCTCCCGTTGTTCAAGATTTACAGATTGTTTGCAGCTGAACATGCTTCCTCCAGCACATGAATCTGTGTAAGTGAAGACCTACATGTTGCTGTCAAACCCAACAGTAGCATCACACTGCATCATTCATGTGGTTATTTGCAGCGGTACAAAGTACATACGTGTTTGAGTACTGAACTCACGCACGAGTGCTCTCAATGAGTTATCCTTTGTTTTCAATGTTGCTGTAAAAGTGAAATAAGGATCCTGCCCTAGTCTTCTTGCTCTTTAATGTTCCCTAACATGTTTCACATGTTTCTAATTTTCCCTGTATTTAGTTGAGATTATATATTTACCCCTGTTCTATTTTTAACTTTGACATTTAAAATAGACTATCGTGTAAGAGTGTGTGTGTGTGTGTGTGTGTGTGTGTGTGTGTGTGTGTGTGTGTGTGTGTGTGTGTGTGTGTGTGTGTGTGTGTGTGTACCTGCGCTGTGGGTTGTACATGAAGAGCAGGTTGAGCAGTCTGTGTCCGGCTTCAGACAGCCAGGTGAATTTATTCTTCAGGTTGTTGTACGGCTGCTTCCTCAGACTGTACTGACCAATGAGGGGCAGCTGAGAGAAACCCTGGGGGACACACACAAACAATTTAGCACATTCCTTTGACATCTTCAGACCTGACAGATATGTCAATATGAGCAGATGTTCATAGCGGAGGTCTCACAGGCCAGATGTTCTGGTTGGGGGTCCCCAGCAGCTGCACGATTAGGTCCACCTGCTGGATCTCTGAGGCTCCTGGAAGCAGAGGTTTGTGGGCCAGCAGCTCAGCCAGGATGCAGCCCACCGCCCTGCAGAACATCAGCTGTTCAGTGTCAGCAGGTATTTCAAACAGAGGTTCCTATTGGCTCCTTACGGTGTGTAAGATAGTGTGCAATGTCTCTTTTCGTGATAAAGCATTAGGAACCTGAGAGTGGCGGGTGATGATATTATAACTCTCCCCTCACATCAAGACGCCAGAGGTGAAGTACTATGCTTTTTATGCAATGGTCTATTTTGAGAGTTTGGACTATTTTGCATGTTCATTTCCATTCCACCCCAGACTGTGGGCAGGTACGAACATTTGAAACATTTCTTAGTGTCTATCGCACTAACAGATCAAAGTACAGATGTGAAGTAACCAAATATATACTTAAATACTGTACTTAAGTACTGTTGTCAGGTACTTGTACTTTACTTGAGTATATCAATTTTCTTCTACTCCACTACAATCCAGGTAAATGGTGTACTTTTACTCCACTACATGCTCCAAACACCAAACAGATCATTGCAGCATTACCCATAATCCCCTCTGTTTCAGCCCTGTTTCCAAAGGAGGAGCCCCTCCCCACGCCCCTCTGAGAGAGATTTGGTTACAAAGAACTCAATGGTGCTCTAGGAGGAGATTCAGGTGATAAGGGGGGGGGGGGGGGGGGGTTACCTTGGTTGCTGATTGGCTAATGGCTACACAAGACAAAACATCGTTATGACATCATCAAGTGGCCAAAATCTGATCAGCTCATTTTCAGACAGGTTTTTATAGAAATGGATCAAAAAGAGAGAGAATCTTTGTTTCTGAAACTTTCAGAGTCTCTTTCCACAGAGGGGACACATGCTGATGTAGAAGAGACATGAAGAAGAGGGGACACATGCTGATGTAGAAGAGACATGAAGAAGAGGGGACACATGCTGATGTAGAAGAGACATGAAGAAGAGGGGACACATGTTGATGTAGAAGAGACATGAAGAAGAGGGGACACATGTTGATGTAGAAGAGACATGAAGAAGAGGGGACACATGTTGATGTAGAAGAGACATGAAGAAGAGGGGACACATGTTGATGAAGAGGGGACACATGTTGATGTAGAAGAGACATGAAGAAGAGGGGACACATGTTGATGTAGAAGAGACATGAAGAAGAGGGGACACATGTTGGTGTAGAAGAGACATGGAGAAGAGGGGACACATGTTGATGTAGAGGAGACATGAAGAAGAGGGGACACATGTTGATGTAGAAGAGACATGAAGAAGAGGGGACACATGTTGGTGTAGAAGAGACATGAAAGAAGAGGGGGACACATGTTGATGAAGAAGAGACATGAAGAAAGAGGGGACACATGTTGATGTAGAAGAGACATGAAGAAGAGGGGACACATGTTGATGTAGAAGAGACATGAAGAAGAGGGGACACATGTTGATGTAGAGAAGACATGAAGAAGAGGGGACACATGTTGATGTAGAAGAGACATGAAGAAGAGGGGACACATGTTGATGTAGAAGAGACATGAAGAAGAGGGGACACATGTTGATGTAGAAGAGACATGAAGAAGAGGGGACACATGTTGATGTAGAAGAGACATGAAGAAGAGGGGACACATGTTGATGTAGAAGAGACATGAAGAAGAGGGGACACATGTTGATGTAGAAGAGACATGAAGAAGAGGGGACACATGTTGATGTAGAAGAGACATGAAGAAGAGGGGACACATGTTGATGTAGAAGAGACATGAAGAAGAGGGGACACATGTTGATGTAGAAGAGACATGAAGAAGAGGGGACACATGTTGATGTAGAAGAGACATGAAGAAGAGGGGACACATGTTGATGTAGAAGAGACATGAAGAAGAGGGGACACATGTTTGATGTAGAAGAGACATGAAGAAGAGGGGACACATGTTGATGTAGAAGAGACATGAAGAAGAGGGGGACACATGTTGATGTAGAAGAGACATGAAGAAGAGGGGACACATGTTGATTGTAGAAGAGACATGAAGAAGAGGGGACACATGTTGATGTAGAAGAGACATGAAGAAGAGGGGACACATGTTGATGTAGAAGAGACATGGAGAAGAGGGGGACACATGTTGATGTAGAAGAGACATGAAGAAGAGAGGACACATGTTGATGTAGAAGAGACATGAAGAAGAGGGGACACATGTGATGAGAAGAGACATGAAGAAGAGGGGACACATGTTGATGTAGAAGAGACATGAAGAAGAGGGGACACGTGTTGATGTAGAAGAGACATGAAGAAGAGGGGACACGTGTTGATGTAGAAGAGACACGAAGAAGAGGGGACCGTGTTTGATGTAGAAGAGACACGAAGAAGAGGGGGACACGTTGTTGATGTAGAAGAGACACGAAGAAGAGGGACACGTGTTGATGTAGAAGAGACACGAAGAAGAGGGGACACGTGTTGATGTAGAAGATACACGAAGAAGAGGGGACACGTGTTGATGTAGAAGAGACACGAAGAAGAGGGGACACGTGTTGATGTAGAAGAGACACGAAGAAGAGGGGACACGTGTTGATGTAGAAGAGACACGAAGAAGAGGGGACACGTGTTGATGTAGAAGGAGACATGAAGAAGAGGGGACACATGTTGATGTAGAAGAGACATGAAGAAGAGGGGACACATGTTGATGTAGAAGAGACATGAAGAAGAGGGGACACATGTTGATGTAGAAGAGACTAGAAGAGGGGACACATGTTGAGTAGAGGGGACACATGTTGATGTAGAAGAGACATGAAGAAGAGGGGACACATGTTGATGTAGAAGAGACATGAAGAAGAGGGGACACATGTTGATGTAGAAGAGACATGGAGAAGAGGGGAACACATGTTGATGTAGAAGAGACATGAAGAAGAGGGGACACATGTTGATGTAGAAGAGACATGAAGAAGAGGGGGACACATGTTGATGTAGAAGAGACATGAAGAAGAGGGGACACATGTTGATGTAGAAGAAGACATGGAGAAGAGGGGACACATGTTGATGTAGAAGAGACATGAAGAAGAGGGGACACATGTTGATGTAGAAGAGACATGAAGAAGAGGGGACACATGTTGATGTAGAAGAGACATGAAGAAGAGGGGACACATGTTGATGTAGAAGAGACATGAAGAAGAGGAGACACATGTTGATGTAGAAGAGACATGAAGAAGAGGGGACACATGTTGATGTAGAAGAGACATGAAGAAGAGGGGACACATGTTGATGTAGAAGAGACATGAAGAAGAGGGGACACATGTTGATGTAGAAGAGACATGAAGAAGAGGAGACACATGTTGATGTAGAAGAGACATGAAGAAGAGAGGACACATGTTGATGTAGGAGAGACATGAAGAAGAGGGGACACATGTTGATGTAGAAGAGACATGAAGAAGAGGGGACACATGTTGATGTAGAAGAGACATGAAGAAGAGGGGACACATGTTGATGTAGAAGAGACATGAAGAAGAGGGGACACATGTTGATGTAGAAGAGACATGAAGAAGAGGGGACACATGTTGATGTAGAAGAGACACGAAGAAGAGGGGACACGTGTTGATGTAGAAGAGACACGAAGAAGAGGGGACACGTGTTGATGTAGAAGAGACATGAAGAAGAGGGGACACATGTTGATGTAGGAGAGACATGAAGAAGAGGGGACACATGTTGATGTAGAAGAGACATGAAGAAGAGGGGACACATGTTGATGTAGAAGAGACATGAAGAAGAGGGGACACATGTTGATGTAGAAGAGACATGAAGAAGAGGGGACACATGTTGATGTAGAAGAGACATGAAGAAGAGGGGACACATGTTGATGTAGAAGAGACACGAAGAAGAGGGGACACGTGTTGATGTAGAAGAGACACGAAGAAGAGGGGACACGTGTTGATGTAGAAGAGACATGAAGAAGAGGGGACACATGTTGATGAAGAAGAGACATGGAGAAGAGGGGACACATGTTGATGTAGAAGAGACATGAAGAAGAGGGGACACATGTTGATGTAGAAGAGACATGAAGAAGAGGGGACACGTGTTGATGTAGAAGAGACATGGAGAAGAGGGGACACGTGTTGATGTAGAAGAGACATGAAGAAGAGGGGACACATGTTGATGTAGAAGAGACATGAAGAAGAGGGGACACATGTTGATGTAGAAGAGACATGAAGAAGAGGGGACACGTGTTGATGTAGAAGAGACATGAAGAAGAGGAGACACATGTTGATGTAGAAGAGACATGAAAAAGAGGAGACACATGTTGATGTAGAAGAGACATGAAGAAGAGGGGACACGTGTTGATGTAGAAGAGACATGAAGAAGAGGGGACACGTGTTGATGTAGAGAGACATGAAGAAGAGGGGACACATGTTGATGTAGAAGAGACATGAGAAGAAGAGGGACACATGTTGATGAAGAAGGAGACCTGGAGAAGAGGGGACCACATGTTGATGTAGAAGAGACATGAAGAAGAGGGGACACATGTTGATGTAGAAGAGACATGAAGAAGAGGGGACACATGTTGATGTAGAAGAGACATGAAGAAGAGGGGGACACATGTTGATGTAGAAGAGACGTGGAGAAGAGGGGGACACATGTTGATGTAGAAGAGACATGAAGAAGAGGGGACACATGTTGATGTAGGAGAGACATGAAGAAGAGGGGACACATGTTGATGTAGAAGAGACATGAAGAAGAAGGGGACACATGTTGATGTAGAAGAGACATGAAGAAGAGGGGACACATGTTTGATGTAGGAGAGACATGAAGAAGAGGGGACACATGTTGATGTAGAAGAGACATGAAGAAGAGGGGACACATGTTGATGTAGGAGAGACATGAAGAAGAGGGGACACATGTTTGATGTAGGAGAGACATGAAGAAGTGGGGACACATGTTGATGTAGAAGAGACATGAAGAAGAGGGGACACATGTTGATGTAGGAGAGACATGAAGAAGAGGGGACACATGTTGATGTAGAAGAGACATGAAGAAGAGGGGACACATGTTGATGTAGAAGAGACATGAAGAAGAGGGGACACATGTTGATGTAGGAGAGACATGAAGAAGAGGGGACACATGTTGATGTAGAAGAGACATGAAGAAGAGGGGACACATGTTGATGTAGGAGAGACATGAAGAAGAGGGGACACATGTTGATGTAGGAGAGACATGAAGAAGTGGGGACACATGTTGATGTAGAAGAGACATGAAGAAGAGGGGACACATGTTGATGTAGGAGAGACATGAAGAAGAGGGGACACATGTTGATGTAGAAGAGACATGAAGAAGAGGGGACACATGTTGATGTAGAAGAGACATGAAGAAGAGGGGACACATGTTGATGTAGGAGAGACATGAAGAAGAGGGGACACATGTTGATGTAGAAGAGACATGAAGAAGAGGGGACACATGTTGATGTAGGAGAGACATGAAGAAGAGGGGACACATGTTGATGTACAAGAGACATGAAGAAGAGGGGACACATGTTTATTACTTGTTAGACGCTTTTATCCAAAGTGACTTACATACTCAATACTTTGGACAATCCCCACAGGAGCACTTTGGGGTGAAGTGACTCAGGGACACAACGACATGCAGTGGGGTTTGAACCTGCGCCACACACCGCTTTTATGTATAAAAGACATGAAAAAGTGGATTTTGCATAACAGGTGACCTTTAAATTCCCTCTGTAAAAGCCTTTGACATACATCAACAAAATGAAACAAGAAAGTCTCAAGGTAAAATGTCTTGGGTACATATATTTTACTAGATTCCCCTGTAGTGCCCCCTTGAAACAAATGTTTCCTCATGTGGAGGTCAGGCATGATGTGAATGTGTGTATGAGTGTCTCATAATGTAGCCTCACCACATATCCAGAGCTGTAGTCTGGGTCTTCGTCCCTAGGAGGAGCTCTGGAGCTCTGTACCTGCAGACAGATTTGGGGGGGGAGATTAACACATACGGTGACTGAGCCCAAGGTGAGGAGGAGATTAAAAGACACACGCACGCAATTTAAGTTATCTCCACCTTGACCAGCTGCAAAGTTAAACTGTCTCCGTGAATGGATCATTAATTAGAATCCAATGATCTAATATTTATTATTCTAAAAATGTCCAGTCTGCACAATGAGTACTTCTAGTTTGGTACTTTGAGTATAGTTTGATGGAAATACTTGTACTTTTAAGTCACAACTTGTAACAGAGAATTTCTACAACGTGGTATTATTGCTTTTGCTATTTCCAAATAAAGCATTATTTAGGGTGAGCACGTGTGAGACTCACCACAGTGTGACCACTCGAGGGGTCATGGGCTGCTGGGGGATGCCGTACATCCGGGCCAACCCAAAGTCAGCTGCAGGACAAACAGATCCAGACAATAATTAAATGTCAGAAAATTAATTTCATCCATTCAAATGTCAACTCAAAATTCCCAGAGCCCAGGTGACATATTGAAATAGCTTCTTTTGTCACTCAAAGGTAGTCAATGAACAATGATCAATATTATTGGAAGAGCCGGAACAACAGCATATATTCTAAAAAAAACTAATATATAAATCGCTTTTGGCTCATATATTTGACTTTACAAAAATACCATTCACATTCGAGATGCAACTATGCAGACTTGTAACATTTGTTTGATTTGTTGTGTTTAAGCAGGAACAAGGAGGTTGTAAATAGAGATTATTCTTTAATTAGCAGATATATAAATAATTCTGTATCTATATTCATTTCAGGAAAAATTGAAGTTAGCAGTCTTGACAGAAGGAGGGACAGAGATGGGGGGGGGTCAAAGGTCATGCTGGAGTAGGGACACGGTGGCCGTTTCTCAATGTCGAGTAGAGCTGCTGCAGAGCCACTATGTCAAGTATACCACGTCATCGAGTGGCGCAGAAGGACTGTTCAAATGCCCAGCATTCGGCGCCACTCAATGACATAGTATACTTGAAATAGTGGCTCTGCAGCAGGTGTACTCCACATTGAGAAACGGCCCGTGAGAACAGGAATAACAGGATAACAGTGACAGCTGCTGATTGTGATGACTCACCGATCTTAACGCAGCCTTTGTCTGTCATCAGCAGATTAGACACCTTCAGGTCCCTGAAAACACGATTAGAGAGGATCATCCACCCGCCTCAATGCACTCACCCCCCTTCCCACACTTGTCATGCATTTTTAGATTATAGCAACCGTTTAAAACACAGCTTTGTCAGATTTGTTCAAGCTTATCCACATGAACTCACAAAGCTGTAACATTTTTTTAATGTATTTTCACTATTTCGATTCTTTCCAAATTGGAGGTATTCTGCCCTTAAGGCATTCCCTGGTCAACAGTCTACATGGTTTGCCTTTGCAAATCAGAATATAGATATGGGTCCTTGCCTAAAATGATGTTAGTATACCCGAAACATCAACTCTAAATCTGCTTTTACATTTCTATAAGCCTTTTTTTCAGTGTCTAGAGAATCAGACCTAAATATAACACTATATATATATATAGTTGTATATGTATGTCATTGAGAACTCTAAAACCATCCATTCTTTTCTCGTGCATCTCAGCATTAATCTCTTCAAACTGTACCTAGCTGTTTGTTATGAAAGACGCCCCTACATTATGGACTCCTCTTATAGATAATTGATATGTAAAAAGATACAGCAGTGTATTCACTTCCTTCATCGACTTAGATATTTTGAAGCAAGAATATTTGAAATGTATCACATCCAAATGTGTACGAAGATAACCGGCCAACCTGATATGTTTCATTTAAACATAACAGGCTGAAGAATGCTTTAACACATCCGTCTATCCTGCTGCTACACCAGACCGGAGTCATGATGTACATTTAACAATCTTTTTGTCAATACACCAAAACATTTCATCTATATGCTATTTAACTGTTCAGTTGTTTCACAGATAAGAAGTCAATTGAGTTAACCTGAACAAATGTTATTTAACTAGCATAAAACAACTAACAAGTAATGTTAGCATCAACTTGGTGTGTCAACAAGCTGACCACATACTATTGTTGGATAGATTTATGTAATCCTCTCTAGAAAGTGACGGTCAGAGTTTTTTTACTTCTGTTCCTAAGTCTATAAAGTACAAAAAGAAGTGCAGCCTCAGCGTTGGTGTTTCCAGTCAATGTGTGTGACTGACCTGTGTATGATGAAGTTGTGGTGGAGATACTCCAAGCCTCTGAGCAGCTGCAGGACGATACACTTCACCTGGAGAAGAGAATATGATGTTACACAGACCTAACTAATGCGGCTTTCACACCAGCGCTTTTCCCTTTCTAGCTCCGAGCTAGAGCTTTTCTGGTTCAGCTCCGGTTTCCCTTTTCTGCTCCCGCTCTGTTCACACCGCCTAGAGCCCGACTGGTGCTGCCGCTGCTGCTGCGTCATGACGTCACCGTTTACATCGCTGATTTGCTCTAGTGATGGGAATTCCGGCTCTTCTTGGTGAGCCGGATCATTTGGCTCGGCTCACCAAGAAGAGCCGGCTCTTTCGGCTCCCAAACGGCTCTTCAGTTTACCACATATTATACCTTTTAATTCAATCAAATGTAGCCCTGTTTTGACTAATGATTTATATGTGTACACATATATCACTTAAATTATTCAATACATCCTTTGTACTGAAGTATTCAAAAGTAAAAATTACATGTTTAATATAAATGATTTGCTGTGGCCAATTGTTTTCATTGCATTTACAGACCCGTGTAACTCTCTGATACCACCCAATGAATGCATTGACTTGCTTGTAGAACCACACTACACAAAACAGATAAGGGGTTACTGTATCGACCTATATAAAGTATATAAATATTTTTTTTTATATAAAAAAATATAGACTATATAGACCAAAAAGATCCTGCATTTGAGCCATGCATCATTTCGCTCTATTTGCTCTTTCCAGCGCTGTTTTTGCAGGGGGCTGATTCTGTGAGCTGCAGCTGACCACGCCCCCCTGCAGGAGAGGGGAGCGTGCTTTGAGATCAGCTGCTGGGCTGTCAGAAGAGGGGGAGAAAAAGATATCTCCGTCCTCCGTGTTTTATTCTTATAGAAGTAAGAAGAGAAGTAATGGGGCAGAAACCCTCCTTTTTACGCAGCGGTCCAGACATAGACATCAAACGGCGACACATATTCAGTTGCCAGTTATTTTGGCATTAGGGCAGGCCAGGGATATCTAGATACTTTCCAAGGTTTGACATAATGAATTGTGTTACTTTTAAAGCAAGCAACGATGTTTTCAAATCTGTAATCAAAAAGCTCCTCAAAAACACTATCGAAGCAGTTCCTGCCGTTGCTACGTTAGTTCAAACAGTAACAACGGACTACTTTTCTTAGCGGATGCATGTCAATTTAAATCAATACATAAAACGATTTTTTAAATCAATAAAATCATTTTCTAAATCCATAAAAGCATTTCAATTAATATTGGGAGTCATGTCGTTACTTTGTTGAGAATGTGGCCATGTAATAAGCGGGATAATGTGCACATTGCATAATGTGCCTTCAAGCCGATCTAGATCCCTCGGCAAAAAAACAAAAAAAAACGGCACTTAAAAGTTCGCGACCGACACATCACTAATTTTCTCCCCAACGGCGTTACGGCGCTCACAACAACAACAACTGCGTCGGGTCGATGATCGTGTTGCTTTTAATCACACAAAGCCAGATTAAATTAAATAACGACTTCTCCAACCTTATGCTTTTCTCCAGAGTGCCGTGGTTCATTGTTTATTAATGTGTTTCTGCAGCATTTACCGACCGCTGCAGTCAGGGGCACCGCTAGGGATTTTGGGCCCCATGAAAATATATCACATTGGGCCCCACCACCAGGCACAGGCCACTTTGTTTATAAATTACCTCGAGGGCCGTACCAAATGGTCTAGCGGTCCGTATACGGCCCGGGGGCCGGAGGTTCCCCACCCCTGCTTTAATATAATAACATTAGTATTAATATCATAACCAAAATGTCTGTGATTAACATTTTGTTTACAGACTGATCACTCAATGCTTCAAACTGTCCATCATCCTAAATAGACTAAAAGCAGTTTTTTGTTTTATATAGATCATTGGCTATGTGGGAAAATACTGTGTTTGAAATGTATAATTTAAATTAGATGTTAGCTTTTTGTATATATGTGTTGTATTCCAGTCTCCCTTCAGATATGTTAAGTGGCATGTCATTCAACACAATGCTGCTCACCTCCTTCAGTTGGGAGAAAAGCTGGTTCAGGTTCAGCCTTATGAAGCTCAGCACAAGTTCAACCAGGAAGACTGTTTTTCTCATTCATGTTTACGTTATTACTCTCTCTCCTCTCAATAAGTGACAGGGGGCGTCACTCTTCAGTCTAACCAATCACTTTGCTCTATTTCCAAGAGCCTATCATAGCGCTCTGTCAAACCTTTTTAATCCGCTCTTTCCCCCTCTGACAGCTGTCATTTCAGGTGACTCGACACAACCCTCCTCCACCCCTTTTCTCCTCCCGTCCCTCTAAATCCAGGTTCAAGCTAAACCACTCCTCTTCAGACCGACCCCAACTATCCACTCACCACCACGAGTGTCTAGACCCCAGGGGGTTTCATCGGATCGGTTCTACCCTCCCGAATGATACTTCCTGCACAACGGGGCCTACATCGCCAAAATTACCATTACATTCATTTGTTCATCTGTGCAATAAATATGCATCACTCAAAACCGTCTCTCCTGATTTAAATGGGGGGACAGGGCTGCTGAGCCTAAAGATGGATCTGTTGGACCTGGCACCAGGGGGAGGGACAACTGGTTTAGTATGAATAGGTGCTAAAAATGTGCCTGCATTTATTAAAGGTAGGTAGGTAAGAATGGAGAAACCAGCTCGAGTAAGCTAGAATTTGAAAATACACAACTGAAAAAAATCTGTCCCTTCCTTCAGAGTTCCTTACAGAGTCCCTCCTCCAACACACACGAACGCGCACATGACCAATGAGGGCACGAGATCAGTTTGTGCACAGATGGAAGGCTGACAGGCAGGTAGGCCATCCAGTTATTTTAGCCGGGCCGGCTCAGATGATTGGTCGTGCTTTTTACAGCGCCACGGCTTCCACAGATGACGTTTTTGTATGTATTATGTCAAAGCATTTCATATATTCATTGCTATCGGGATGTTAAGAGCATTCCATGGAATATAACAACAAGTGTATCTGAAGTGAATTACATACCATACCTTTAAATGTCAGCTAAAAGAGCAGTGAAATTAAAGACCTCTGAATTTTCTGTAAAGATATTAACAGTACTTAATGTCAGCTTAGTAAAAAAAAAAACATTAGCTAACAGACTAATTTCCACCACTCATGGACCACACCCACCTTTTCTTGTGAAAAACTGGGTGACATAGTGTCGCCCTTTAGTCCCTCTCTCTTGTCTTTCTCTCCTTTCTCTTATCTTAGAGCCTGACTTTGTTGGTCGTTGAAACATGGTACAACACACGTATGTAGGCTAAGTACTAGCATCCCTCCTCAGTCCTCACATGCTCTCACAGTCTCTGCAAGTGCCGGTGCCGCACCGCGTCTGGAGGCAGGACCAAACCATTACATGTAAATAGAAGGGGGTGTACAGAGGCTTTGGGTAATTAACTTTTGGAAGAAAATAAGTTAAATGAATCGTAAGTTTAGTGAGTAATTTATCAATATAATGTTCTATTAATATTAATTATTGAGGATTGATGAAAGGTTACTTACATTTTTTTTCTTAATGTTCTAAACATTTTGGGGCCCCTGTCAGTCACGGGCCCTTAGAATCGTCCTAACTTTTCACCCCCTTACGGCGCCCCTGGCTGCAGTGTTGGCTGCTCTTCCACGGGAGTTTATTCTCCCGTTAGCTCCCGGTTAGATCACACGGCAGCGGCCGCTCTAAAGTATTCACTGTCCAACTCACACAAGCAGCTGATACATATCCCCAGTTCCCCTTAGCCTAAGTGAATGTGTGTCAGTCTGCATTGACGCTGTTGGGCATCACAACGCTGTTATGAAAGTTTCTCTGGTATAAAATGGGTGATGTTAGCATAGCAACCGAAGCTAAACTGACTACTTGCTATTGCTATCCTATTGTGGCATAAACCGTTTTCTACAGGCACATTTTACCGGCGTATTTTCATTATGATTCTACTTGTGATAGTCGGACACGACAACCTGTGCAGCCCATGTATTGATTCCATCCGATAGCTGCTATAATACAAAACAACACGTCTGCCTCTCTCCACAATGATCAATAACAGTGAACGGATGGTCAAAGTAAGGTACAAATAAACAGAATCACACGAAGCCTGGTTAGTGTTGCCTGACTTTATAAAGTGTGTTTATTAAGCACTACTGCTTTTAGGCAGGCATGACAGTCAACCCATGTTCAGGGGAGGTGGGTTTAGTTTCCTGCACGCCTCGACGTAAGAGAGACGTAAGCGACGCCACCTCTTAGCTCCGAAGTATGGAGTCAGATTTGGGTCAATATTCTAGCGCGCAAAACAAGCTACTCACGAGCGGGAAATGTGCTTTTACACGCGCATGAAATGACCCTCGCGCGCAGATTAAACCCCCGCGAGCGGCTATGCGCTCGCTCGCGAGAGAGACAGCCCTCTTGCTCCCTCGCGGGAGTGTCAGCCTCACTCGCGGAGTCTGTCTACGCCATAGACTGTATATATAAACCCGGAGTTGCCAGGTTTGATAAATGCCTGAACTACCAAGAGCCGAGGAGTGACAGCTGCAAGATCAGTTGGACGAGATTGAATGGTAAAGTTGTCCATAAAAAACTATTATATTCGTAAAGTGTACAGCTAATATATATATATAGATTAATTAATTTTATATAAAACAATATATTTTTGAGTGGGCTGTATCTGTCGAAAACTGCTAGCTACTGTCTGCTGTATGCACCTCCCTTACGAAATGAACTATAAATGAACTATAGTATTACTATAGTATATTATAAGAGTTGTATAGTGTCCTATAGTAAGTTTGTAGTGTTCTGTAGTATTTTTCACCAGCGATTGTATTACTATAGTTTTTTCTGTAGTGCCATTTTATTAGCTATAGTAGCCCTATAATATTTCAATAGTAATACTCTGTATCTAGATCTTTGTAGTATTCCTATATTATTTTAAATAGTATAACTATAGTATAATATATAGTGTTTCTGTAGTTGTTTTTTAAACACACTATAGAACACTCCTAATAGCATGATATTGTCATAGTGAATGCATATTATTACTATAGTGTTTGTAAAAGTATTACTATAGTGTTTTTGTTGGTGTTTCCGTATTAAGACTATATTATTTTAAATAGTAGCCTACTACTATAGTATAATATATAGTAATAGTATGATGTTGTCATAATGAATGCATATTATTACACTCACATTGAGTGTTCTGTAATCAGTTACTAAATACTGAATACATGGCTCTGAAAGTAATCAGAATACAGTTACAGTTACGTGTCTTAAACGTTGGAATCGGGTCTACTTTAACGTATTCAGATTACTTTTAGAATACTTTCTTTTTCCATAACAGATGGGTATGTTTTGGTGAACAGGAGACACGTATTTTACTGTTTTAATGGCTTATCAAGAGCACAAACACAACATGTGTCATTCTGGACAGCTCTCTCATCTGCACCCCACATAAAAAACATCACCCGGACTGCATTCTTTGTAGTCTTAAAACCTTTCCTTGGAATATGTTATGAATTGTAAGGTGTCCTTGGGTGCTTTGAAAGGCGCCCCTAAATAGAATGAATTATCATTATTATTTATTATCTGAAACGATGTAATAACTTTTAAAACTGTTTCCAGTCACTTGCCCCATGCATTCAGCAGCAGCAGGCCATTCACTTTGATTTGATCTCGTTATAAATGTCATAATTTCGACAATAAAGAAATGCTACATAAACGTTATCTTGCACATTTTATCTAACCATCTCCGTTTCTAACTTTCAATATATTTTAAAAGAGATCTCTCTCATCTGCGTGCGGGGGCGGGGCCTCACAGACACGCTGCATCTCTCGCTCACAGACATGCTGTAGCACTGTGCAGTGTGCACACAGCTCTGCCGGTAATGAATATTACATTTTGTGAGGAAACTTTTCCACCAATAATTCCAATAAGTATTCCAAAATGTATTCACTTCAGGTTTACGAAAGTAACTGTAATCAGATTACTCGTTTTTCAAATGTAACGCCAGCTGAATACAGTTAGCCTACTTGATTTTTGTATTCTGATTACGTAACGCCGTTACATGTATTCCGTTACAACCCAACCCTGCTTCTAGGCTACTGTCCCGCAGCTCCTGCCTCTCTGTTGGACTCTGTCGCAGCGGGGCTACTGCTGTGCTGCGGAGCGCACAAAGCAGACTCTTCACAACGAAGGATCACTTCTTCTTCAAGGCAGGAAAGGTTTTGCAGTACGCAGTCTACTGTCCCGCAGCTGCTGCCTCTCTGTTGGACTCCGGTACTGCACACAGTAACCACGCCGCAGTCACCCCCGTCGTGCGGGCCGGATGAGAATGTCTGGCGGGCCGGATGTGGCCCGCGGGCTGCCAGTTGGTGGTCACTGCTCTAGACCGACAATTTTTTGGAGCTGGAAGTGAACCGGATATCGGAGCTAAGAGGCGGCGCCGCTGCGATGTGAACAGGAAAAACCGGCACTTTTCAGGCTCCAGCTCCGAGCCGGAGCTGAAAACGCGTTGGTGTGAAAGGGGCAGAGGATGTTTGGATACAATCAGGGGTCCTTAAGAGGAGTTAAAGGGGGCAATGTCACTGTAACCGATCATTTATCTGCATCTAAGTGAGAAATTCAAACCAACTACAATATGCTAAATTTATGTGAGAAAATCCTTAGATCTGTCCTACCTGAGCCTCAGAGAATGGGGTCTGCATGTTTTCCAGCAGACTGGCCAGATCCTGCTCACAGTAACTCATCACCAGAAAGAGGCTGAAACACAACATGGAGGATCAAGTGTGTAAAACAGGTTGAGGTGACTGCGGTAAAGACAGCTGGGCAGATGCTGAATAGTTACATTTCGCCCAGTGAGACGATCAGCATTAATTGTTGCTGTATAACATTCTCTTGTAAAACTTGAAATCTACCATGGCGGTGTGAGTATGTGTACTACCTCTCCAGTTGACTGCCAACAACCACTTCTTTCAGCTCCACTATGTTGGGATGTCTGAGCCTCAGCAGCAGGGTGATCTCTCTGAGGCTGCTGATGGGGACCCCTGACAGAACCAGGAGGAAATCAGGCCTGTTATGCTCATGTTCAGGTTGTTTACATGCTTTAAGTCTGGACAAAGTTCCCACATGTACAAAAAGGTAATTCTATGCATAACAACACATATGATTGCATGTGGAACAAAGAGAAACACACCAAAAGTACTGCATTAAAACACAGACATGAATCAGAGCATTGATCTTACCATCTTTCTCTTTGTCCATGCGGACCTTCTTCAAAGCCACAATCTCATCTGACTTGGTGTCTCGAGCTCGGTCTACAGAAGGAAGAAAACAGTATATTTACTGAGAAGTGTAAATAAAGTGCTATTTCTAATTCCTCTTCAAACATTCAACACTTACACACAATGCCGTAAGTTCCTTCTCCGATGCGATTGAACTTCTCAAACTCTCTGACACTCCTGCAACTCCCAAACTGAAAAAGAGTGAAAAGACAGATGGTAAAGAGACTCTCCGCACAGCAGTGGACTTCATGCATCATGCTTGTCTAAAGTAGTATAATCAAAGATGTTACAGTCATTATATTTTGAATACTTTATTACCAGACTGTAAAGCCCTCTGCAACATAGGTGCATGTGATATGAACAACATTTAGATTGATTCATTTGATTGACCCACATGATGAAGCCTGAAGAATAAATGTGGTTTATGATAGTAACTGGAAAGTGTCTCTCTTCCTCTGGAGAACTCCATGTAACAGTTTCATGTATTCATAAATACTGAAGTGAATATGAATAATAGTTGAACCAAAATGATGAGCAGAATTTGCAATTACCTTAATGGAACTTTGGCCCAATGCACATTAAAAATGATAGTGACTGTGATTGCTGCTCTAATAAAGTGAACTAGGTCGTTAAGGAAGAGATTTTTTCGTAGCAAGAGATCTCACTTAGGAGGAATCAGCCAATGACGTAAATAGTTGGGTGCTTTAACATTTAGGCTTATGTGTAGATTGAAGCCAGTAATGAGCTAAGCTTCTCAGAGGCACAGACCTTCATTTTACTTTCAAAGTTAACTGACACATATAGCGAAGGCGCCAACTAACCAATTCCTGTTCCACAATGGGCGCTCATAACTGCAGGTAGTTTATCACAACACACCTTTACGGAAATAATGCCAAACACCATTAAAAACAGCTAATGTGTTACATAATGTCACATTTCCTCTGAGTGCAGCCACTTTACCTAATAAGGATTTCCTGTTGTTTATTGCTTTTAAGGTGAGGTGGAATAAATACTCTTATTTACTTAAGTAAAGTAGCAATGCTGCACTTTAAAAATACTCAGTTACAAGTAAAAGTCCCGCATTAAAACTGTACATAAGTCAAAGTGAAAATATATGAGCATATAAATACCTAAAGTAAAACTATGTCTTATGCAAAATGGCCATTTTAAGCAGCAGATATTTTTTTATTGTTTAATTTATTTACCAAAATCTGCAAAGTAACAAGTAACTAAACATGTAAATACATGTAATAAAAAGCATAATATTTGCATTCAAACTGTAGAGAAGAAAAAGTATAAAGAATCATAATATAAAAATAATTCTTATACATATAATAAAGTACAGTACAACACTGCTTTTTTTTATTAAAGAGATTTGTTCTGTCATACAACAGGCAGTTGCACTGCACAATGCAATTCTTACGCTCAGCTCTCCACACCTAAATATTAAGAAACTAGATTTACAAACAAACATATAAGGTAAAAACTATTATATAAGAATATTAAAAATATATAAGATGACACAATAAAAAAAAAATCCTGTCCCAGAATAAAAGTGCATGATGTGCTGCATGATACAAATAAGAGTATATAAAAGCAGGGTTTATACATATCTAAAGGTGCATAAGACTAGATAGACTAGACAGTATGAATATGAATGTAACAGAGTGGCTACGGTACAGTGTTTCTATACTGCAGGGGTTCCTAAACTTTTCAGCCCGCGACCCCCAAAATAACAGTGCCAGAGACTGGCGACCCTCCACCACGTGAATAATAAATGTGTAATTGTAATCATCTCGCGACCCCCACGTTGGGAACCCCTGCTGAACTGCACTAGCTTCATACAGTTTGAATGCGGATTGTGATTCATTCATACTGAGCGTCACACAACTACACATTACCGTGTTTAAATGTAGTGATACCCGTGACAAATATAAGCCGTTTATCAGACTAGGCCATAATGAATCGTGCTAAGTGTACATTAGGCATCTATGAGTTATGTATTATTGCTAATTAACAGTAAATCATAAAGCTATGAGTCCTGAACAGAGTCTGTCGGAGCTACTTCTCTTACCCTGTCACTTTGAGGCACTGTGAATGTTTTATTAGTCTTGATAGACTTGAGCTTTATAGGTTCCGGTTCGTCCTCTCCTACGTTATCCATCCTTTCATTTAAGGTTGTTTTCAACCTCAGAAGACAAGGGTATCGTCCCTTCTGGCTTTAACTCGACAGTCCGCAGCACACCCATGGATGATTAATAAGAAGCACACCGAGCTGGGCGCCGCCATATTGTTATGCTTTTGGACACCAACAGGACAACTAAGTGCTTTCCCGGAGTTTCAGGGTGTTGTGATCTGGTTGTGATCACATCATCCGCAAATGGTCGGTTTTGTAAAGTCCATTTTGACTCCATCTTCGAGAACTGTAATAAAATAACAAATAAACATGTAAACGTATCTGCCTTTTCCCTTTATGATTGTACCACACATGTAATCAACATAGTCATCAAAACAACATGGAATATATTGCCCATGGCTTCTATTAACGTTATTAGAATTAGCCTACTGTGAGCACATAGAAAGCATAAGCATTAACAGTAATAGGAGTAATTCATGAAGGGCTACTCCAGCAATTTTGAATTTCACTTCAATAAATAAACATATTTATTCAAACAAAGTCAAACTTGAAGCAGTAAATCCATTCACTTTCAAGCTTCTTCCTATTTCTTAAAACCAATAAAACACATTTTATTTTGATCATTATACAACTGGTCCACAGACTGAGCATTACTAATAACTAAATAACCAATAAAGTTGCATTATTATAGATTTCATAGATTATGGCCATAAAAACCTCAACAATGTGCAGATTTAAGGAGGTAAACACAAAGTATGAGTCAGTAAAAATAAATATGTATGTGCTTGATAAAATGACACTGGAGAGATTATTCATTTAGCTGTAGGCTATTATGTCCATTAATGAATGAACCACATGATTCCACCACAGTTTACAGTTTCATAGTGTTTGCTTGCTTTGATCCCCATCCTACCCTCTGTGGCAGCTCATGTGTGTTCAGTGTCTCTTCCCCACTACATAGGGCTTGGAAGAAGGCTGCTGCTCTTTGGAGGCTTCAGATATGGTCAGATTGGACTGAGAGCAGTGGATGTCTTCTCGTGAAGGAGCTGTGATGAGGATGACGGGCGGACGAGGAGAGGAGTCAGCTGATTCTGACTCAGTGTTGGACTGTGATGTGGGGGGGCTCTCTGTAACTGGGTGTGGAATCAGAGGTATCAGAGGTGAAAGAATCACAAAATACTATATATGTATTACTGCTCTCTTTCTGTTCACATTTAGTTCAATCCACTGTTGCAGCAAGCCTGAAATACAAGTCATTTCCCACGACTGATCGCTGTAACTGTTATGCAAATGATGATAAAAAGAACTTGAACCCTTACAAAATGTATTCCGTTACAATAGTTACCTGTAAAAAAAATGTAATCAGTTAACTTATCCAAGTATCACAACATACGTTATATAACCCCATTACTTCCCATTACTTTTTTGATTACCTCAATATCAAATGCAATGCAAAGAAATAAAACAGGAAGAAATAATATGCAAACACCTTTGCAGACCATTTACAAACACCTATATGGCAAACTACAAGACAGGGAAAACGCCTAAAAGAAGGAAAGGGCCTCTCTAAGGGTTTTATGTAGAACAACAGAACAATGAAACCATAGACAAAAAGAAACCAGGGTTAGTTTCCAAAACTGTGTTCTCTGCTAGGAGTATTCATCTATAGGAAAACTGCCTTTCATTAAGCGTATTCAGGCACTTTTTTTTAAATGTTACAGTAATCTTATACTTTTTGATCTAACTTTAAGCAAATAAGGTTAGCAATTTTTTGTATCCTGATTACCTAATCCCATTACATGTTATTTATTACTCTCCAAGCCTGCATATATTGATCAACAACTAACAACTACTTGCTATCTTGATATATTCAACCACACCAGACACAACTGGACACATTATACCTTGTTAGATGAGAGTGTTGAGACATAGTACAAGCTAACATAATGAAATGATTTACTCTATGGCTAGTAGAAGAAAGAAATACGCAAGTTATCAAGGTGTTAGGTCATTATACACATACATCTTGCAGAATGCACCTGTGTCTGTCCCCTGCACTTAATGACAAAAATAATATTATAGGTACATTCAAATGTATGGATGTCAATTCCTTTTAAAACATTGTTATTCTGTCTCAGAATGTTCTGCGGTGTGTGTACTGTGTGTTAGTCGTACCTGTCTCTTCCTGCTGGCTGGTCCCAGACCCCATCAGGCTTCAGTCCACTGTCCTACACTCCTTACATGTCCTTAAACTCCACACTCACATTTCCCCAGCACATTCAGAGTTGCCTGTGCGATGTCGGAGGCTACACCTTCGACAATCTTCTCTTGGTGTCTACGCCGTCTCCCCCCCCCTGCTGTGAGCGTCACCGGCTCTGTCTGGGTTACAGACTAATTCATCCTGAGTGCTCGCTCAAAGCAGGCAGAGATACTGGATTTAAAGGGTCACCAGAGTTCACACTTTCACACTTTGCACATCACAGTTTCGCTCATGTCTGCACACACCATTTCTAAAGTCTGTAGAGCTATTTTATGTCAGTGAATTATTAACTTATGGTATTATTTGTATTAAAATAAATGTTCTAACTGCATTTTTTTAGGACTAATACACAAAAGCATTTCCTGGTTCCAAACTATGTGTTGTTACAAACTATTTTTTCCTTGCTATGAGAAATGTAATGACTGTATATGTTGCTTCTAAGTTCAGGGGTCACCATATGATATAACATATGACATAGACATACATGCATACAATTACAGGGGTTTACTATGAATTCTCATGAATATATTTGTATCTATTATTGTATAATGTTTTTTTTAATATTATTTAATCTGTTTTTATTTGTTAGATATACTTTTGTTCTATTTAACCATTTGTCTTTGAGCTACAGTAGCATCTGTACTCTAAATATAATTGTATATGACAATAAATTGTAATTAGATTAAAGGCGTTCCAAAAATATTAAATGTATCAGTATTGACAGAAAAACTATAATAATCTATATTAGAAAAAACTCAATAATTTGAGGGTTTGTTGAAATGAATATGATCTCCCAATTGTAGGTGAAAATGATAACTTGTTGGAACCTCCAGAAAATAAAGTGTGACCTGTCCTGTATTAAAGTACAGACGTGATACAGGATTAAACCTTGAACCTATCGCTACAGCTTCTTAATTCATGTGGTTTCATATTTTGTATACATAAATAATATGTATGAATTATTGTAAACATGAAAATTAAAATTAAACCAACAAACTTGTGACCTTGTTCATGGTATTTTCTATTTAATTTGTGACTAAAATAAATAATGTATATTGGCAAGGTAAAGAGGTTAAGAGTCAAGAGAATTATTTTATTATTATGGTTTTACCAATTTGCTTATTTCCTTTAATATGCAAACGATAAAATCATTACATATTTTACATTTCTCAAACTTTTAACTTAGATTTACCATTTACAATTTATTTGTTGAATACATGCTACATATAAAAACTGAAACAAATGCATATAAGTCTTGAGTGTTGATGCTGCATGCAACATTTGGAGATTTATGGATAAACATTCTACATGGAGGCAGCCAAATCTAATATTTCCCAAAGACTATGCAAAAATATGATTTATCAAGGCTTGCTTTAATGTCTCTAAGATTCCCATACAGTGACTGATTTAAGTATAACATCTATCTAACAAACAGTGTTTGAATGTGAATGACATGATACCATGGTACATGGTAAGGACTAGAGCTAGTGCTCATTGTGCTTTTGTGTTTATAGTACCACAGCTTCTGTCTACACATCATGAGGGAACAGCTGCAATGACAATGTTATGCCCTTAATCAAGTCCTGCTAAAGGTGTGTAAACAGTGGTACAGGTGTGATATCCTGCTGATAAAACCAGGCTGTGTTGGCACCAGCTCTCTGTTTAATGGGTCACAACCTACGCCTACACAGTATTACCTTCATAAGTTCCTTAAGGTTATTTAAGGTGGTGGAGAGATTCCAGCTTCTAACTGCCTACATCAGGGGTGTCCAAACTACAGCCCGGGGGCCAACTAAGGCCCAAACATGAAACTTGTACTTGCCTTATATTGTACTTCTTAAATATATATGTATAGTAAACAGATATTACACAGTAGTATTCATGTCCAGTATTCATAAGTCCACTTTTCAAATAAATTCTGTCAATTAAAGTTGAAAACATTTTCTAACAAGTTGTTAGTCTTAGTTGTTAAAAAAATTAAACAATAACTATATTTGCTTGAAATATACCCGTCCTATTTCCCCTTATTATAACAATCTGAGTTTGCTACCTTATAACCTAACGTATGAACCAATGTACTTCACCTCTAGTGAGGGGCCCAGCCCATCGTACATTTGTCTGTATGTGGCCCTCAGTGAAACATTTTTGGACACCCCTGGCCTACATCCAGGTGCTGAGCAGATGGCCCTGGAGTCAGTTAACAGCATCAGCCACAGGTTAACGGCAGCTCCGTTCTCATGATCTGAGAAAATCAGCAATGTCCTTTACTGCATCTACTGTTATGATGCAATTGTTAAAGTATGTGTTTATCGTTGTCTGCTCTCTTTTGATGGAGTTTTCTCTTCAGTCCAAACCCCAAGAACTCTTAATAGCTTTTTTGCTCATGAGGTTGCTCCTACAGCTTTAGGGAGCTTTGCGTGACTTTAAGCCTTTAAGAGAAACCGATTACATGTGTTTTTGCTACAGATACTTGTAATCCCTAAGTCATTCAACTATTGCATATGGCATTTGCAAAAAATTCAATAGTTCCCATACGTCATTGTGAAAAGGGCCTGTGCGTGGGCATGTACCGCCCCTTCTGGTGTGGATAGTAACCAGCACATTATATCTATGGATATTTCCATACGGATTGGACCAAATGATAACTTGGAGGGAAGTCACAAATGTCCCATGGCCCACAAATGAACAGGACGAGTCCACTATGTATAGTAGTGTATTATAAAACTCTATCACAGAACTACAATATAATATAATGTAATACAATATAAATGATTTAGATTTGTTGTAATAGCCTACGTCTTACATTTAATGCTCTCACAAAACTCTCATAACAATCCTTTCATTTCTGCTTATTTATTCCATCCTTTCCTCTCACTGCCTGTGTTTTTGGCGGGTGTGCCTATGAGGGAGCACTCGCCCAGCACCTCAGACGCTCTAAGTCTCCTTCAATGTCTTCTTCCTCTGTCATGGCTTTGGGGAGGAAAAAAACACGTTGGATCTGTGGTGTGACACGTCCTGTTTTACCATCTAAGCTAAAAGTGTATCGTGATTGATGTTTTTACCAGGTTGAGAATGTGAGGCAGAGGATGGCAGCCTCCTCTCCGCTGCGTCCTTATTAAAGACAGTCTCATCCAAACTGTTCTCTAGCCTCTGCAGCTCTGCCAGCAGCTCTTCCTGAGGGAGACACACACATAGGCTCAGTTAAATCAAAGAATACTTGTTTTAACTTCAGTCACAGTCAAATGAAATAACTAAGGGATACCTCATCAAATTCCACTTCAAAGCCGGCAGAACTGAGGAGGGTTTCGGTCATGTCCTGGGTCAGATCGTGCTCCTCTGTGATTTCCTTCATCACGTCATTCAGCTTGTTGACAATCTCCCTGCAAAAGCCAGCACTCTATCGTTAACTTTGTATTAGGCTTGAAAGAAAAAGAGGATGATATATTTGCTGTTAGACGGATGCAATCTCATGGTATGTCATAAAAACATCCACACTTCACTTTGATTCATTCAACATTTTAACCTGTCTCCAGAATGGCTGACATGTTTTGCGAGTTCTCTTTCTTTTTCTACTTAATGTCATCTTAACAATGTTTTTATTCTATAATGACATATATATTCATACATATCCTACATTTTTTTGTAACATTGTAATCCTGCTGTTAATCCCCAATTTTTAGAAATCTAGAAAAATAAAATGAGTCTAAATGAAAGAGAAAATTCAGGCAATATCGCTTGCTGTATCGGTCACCGATCGATCGGAGCATCCCTACTGTATAGTGTTCTTGATTTTAAAATGTATTTTAACATTGTACCTAATAAAACCCTTTTTTGTGTCCTGATTACATAATGATGATCTCCTTAACTGTGATGAGCTGCTGTGCTGGTGCCTTACATGTGTTCATGAGCAGACCTCATGGCCTTCACAGCACAGTCGATGTTCTTCAGATGTTTCTCGTACCACCTCTTTCTCTTCAGCGCCTGCAGAGCTCCTGTAAGGAACGCATGGAGAGAGCAGGAATGTTCTCAACATGATTTTCTAAAGTACAGATACACTTGCATGATAACAGAGTTCTTGAACGGGTGCATTTAAATGGAATATAATTCATGTTCAATGTTGGGTGATATGATGAGATACAAACACAGTCAAGTTAACTGTGTCATGGTCAGGCTTTTTCCATATTATCTACACATTATCCCTCTTGTTGTACTGGACCTTTTTGCACAATGATGTCAATCAAGGAGCACTTTCCTTTTATTTCTGACCATTGGAAATCTTTTGTCTTTTTTCCATCAGTGTGTTAGAGTAGGCTCATTGATTTAAAGGTTCACACGTTACATTTAGGTATGCGTAAAAAATAATGTAAATGACAATACTATTATGTTATTTAACAAATGCTGATTATTTCTTTGATGTTGTTTTTTAAAATCCTTTAACAGTTTCTCAATTGTTAAATTACGGTTCAACATATGCTTTTTACCACAGTGTGTAAGTCAACATGTTTTGCATTCATGTATAATGTGATTGTATTTGAATAACTCTTTATGTAAGCTACATTGAATTAGCCAAAAATAAATATAACACATCTGTGAACAATAACTTAGCTTAGCTTGTTCTGTTAGCAAGAGTTAACGTTAGCTTGAGTGCTAGCTTAATAATTGAAGCTACATGTTGAAAAAAACTGACAATACCTCTCTTGACTAGGTTTAAAGTTTATTAAATTATATACAAAGAATATACAACACATTTTAAGATACCTCTTCTGTTCTTCCTACTGTTGGTCTTGGCAAACAGAAACTCCTGGTCAATCTTCTTCTTCAGAAACTCCCTTTTCTTCCCCAGCAGCTCCTCTCGGTCCGGCAGAGGCTCCGTCTCCTCCGGCCGGCAGGGCTTCGTCAGCTTCTCTCCTCCACTCAGCTTCCCGATGAAAGACATATCTGAGAGTTAGGTAGTGACTGAGACACCGAGGTAACTGACAGGGTCCAGAGCTGGCCTTGTACTGAATAATGGTGCAGCTAGTAGCATCGGTCTGTTACCAAGAAACCACTTTTAAAAGAAAACGCGCACGCTCTGCAGACAGTGACCATTCCAACCAGACCGCGCAATTATCTAATCATTTAGGCTACTCTACAATAAATAACATTAAACACTATAACTTAAGTCTTATAGTGTTTAATCAATTGAGTCGTTACAGAGATAATGCGGTCAGGTATACTTCTATAACGACTCAATTGATTAATGTCTGCAACCATCTGATCCTGCGTCTCTCACTTTCTAATAAGTCATTATGTCTGTTAGATTAGTAAACCCCTCGCATCGCGTCCGGTGTGAACAACGCACCATTATAAAGGCTTTTCAGTTTCCTCATTTCTTATTGGCCAATGAAAAAGTCTGTCAGTCAAGATTTTAATCTCTCTCTATACTAACTTTAATTAAACATCTCACAGTAAGTAGATCAGAGTATTTCCTGACAGTGTTTAAAATATATAAATATAGAACTAAACATTTAAAAAAGTACAGAAGTATTATCAGCTATTTACTGAAGTATGACAAGTAAAAGTAGTCATTGTGCAGAATGCCTCTTGTAAAAATGTTGTTCTCTTATAGAATAATATATTATTCTGTTTTTGTGATATATACAATACATAAAAAAGATTTGTAATGTTGTATTTCGTCAATTTGGAGCACATTTTGGAAGGTTCTGTGTACATTAGTAGATAATATATACCATTAAACATGTATTTGTATAAAAAGTAACTACAAGTGTTAAATAAAAATGAGTACAGTAAGGGTACAACATTTCCCTCTTTTGATTGTGAACTAGAAGATGAATAATAATGTAATATCTGAAATGTTGCAAACTAACACTCCAGTGACAGGTGTCTTTTGACTCCCTTACTCCCCACCCTTAAAATGGCCCTATGGGGCTAACAAAATTCCACCACGGACCCAAATAGAACACAAAAGACACCTTTAAAATCATCAAATCCATAGGATTTATTATTATCAACATTTAAAATGTTCAACTATGCATGCGGATGAGAGGCAGAAACCCAGCAGTCCCCACACCAGAGGCCTCCCTCTTCTGCTGCTGCACTGGAGCTTGTAAGCTCTTCTTTCTCCAGGTGCTCCTCGTCTGAACCTCGTTGCAGCAATGCAGCACACCTGGGCAGAGGAACCGAAGGGTAAAAGAAGCAGGGAATACATACAGCGGTAACACTATACAGAGGATAACCCTTGATCTGTGTAGGGACTCAGACTGTCCTCTAGCGCCACCCTCTGGACACACTGTTTCCTGCTTTATTGCATATGTTTGTGTGTGATGGAGGAGGAATGACATGTTGTGTGTGATTGAGGAGGAATGACATGTTGTGTGTGATGGAGGAGGAATGACATGTTGTGTGTGATGGAGGAGGAATGACATGTTGTGTGTGATTGAGGAGGAATGACATGTTGTGTGTGATTGAGGAGGAATGACATGTTGTGTGTGATTGAGGAGGAATGACATGTTGTGTGTGATTGAGGAGGAATGACAT